TTCTCTTTTTCTCTCCCTACAGACCTATTTTGGGGGACATTCTAGCAAAATTATGTCATTTGCAATTTTGGTTGTTTACTTGTGGAATTGTATTGGAACAAAATCTGGACACTCGCTACTGGATGTTTTTTAAAAGACTTCCATGTAACCTATCTGAAATATTACAACAGCTATCACACAGTGGGACAATGTCTGTGACTGTTGAGACAGACACAGGATTAACAATGACTTGTTTTCTGATCATGACACCGTAATCCCAGCAACTGGGGTTAGTCTGTCAGGATTTAGTGGAGGTATGGACTGTTCAGGAGAGAGATTCAAGGGTTTAAAGCGGGATCTAGGGTCAATGTGTCAGCATGATGTTGTCATGGGTCACTGTCACTCTCAGAAGAAGTGTCACAGCTATAGAAGAAGAGAACATTAAGGTCATTTGTGGGGGTATGTGGAATTTATGTATATGTGAAACCTTGATCTGAAGATTCAAGCAACAGATAGATTTCTACATAAAATTAATAGGGCCACACCAGTTTGCATTCTGGTTCATGGACAAATCAGAGAATGAATGGTTTTGATGTTGCTGTGAAATATGCAGTTAAGTGTAAACAGTAAAAGAAACTAGCTACAAACTGAAGTTCTGTTTTTGAATGAGCTTTTTTTCAATCCCTTTTGCTTGCATATGTCTTAAACATTACTGAACAGACTCGAACCGAAATGTTTTTACTAAATTTTTTACTTTTTTTTTAGATTTAACGCAGGTGATATACTATCAGGATTGAGGCACTTAGTACCTCTAGTAATTACCTCTCTCCCTCTCCCCCACCCTCAAACAACAAAAACCCAATAGGATCAATTGAACAAAAACAACAAAAACAAACTGAATACCATCTAAGTTTTCATTGAGAGTCCTGCATATTTCTTACAAGCATTGAGAAAAAAGTTTGATTCATTATTTAATGACTGCAAATTACAGAAAAGGAAAATGCAATTCGTAGTGGAATCTTTATGTGTGCCATTATAAAAATGTTAATTGTGGTGGGGGTATCCGACTTACAACACTGACACGACTGGAATACCCTTAGAAACCTCTGAAAGTTCTGTACTAAAGGGGTTTGACAGCCTCAAGTTTCTTCAATAGGACCCAGTTTTGTGATTGACATGTCTGATCTGCCAATATGTGGCACGTAAGAAGTGACCCTGCCTGGTTCAACACTGCTTTGTGGACAGAGATCGGTCATACATTATTAGTCATATATACTACACAAACACACATACCTACTATCTGTCCGTACACAAGGGCAAATCTCTACCCAGTTTTCTATATATGTGACATTATCTTCTTTCTATGGGGATAAACATGCATTAAGTGGAATGTCATCCTGTCTACAATGAGAATATTATGATCTTGTGTAGCTTATATATATGTATTTACTTTGTGGATAATTCTTATATCCTAGAATTGTTTCTGTTTCTTATTAATGTATTGGAGAGCCGTACATAATCAGACTGGCTGATATTTGTATGTGTGACAGGTCAATTGGGGCCGTGTTACTTCTGTCACTCTGAGTGAGTGAGTGAGTGTTTAATAGCACCTCAGCAATGTTACAGCTACTTGTGAAAGGTTTCACTGAGGGAACATATTGGCAACAGTTTGGGGCATTTTTTCAATTTTCAAATTTTCAAATTACATGTCAGTTGGTTTGAATCAACTCTTACTGCATGTAGAATACTTTATATATTGCTCAAGTTTTTATAGGAAATTGAGATTTTCATCCCATTTACAAGTATTAGAAACCTTTCGTAATAATAAAAATATCCAAATATTCCTATCAAAAGGTAACTAGTTGAGTTAACTTTCGGAGGTGTATTAGGTTAAGCGACTTCAATGTTTGCCGTACTATTGCCCATGTGTGGATCATTATCAGTATCTCCAACTAGGGCTGTAACGATGCATTGAACTATCTATGGATTGCAATTGTTGAGTCTCTGATAGCAATTAATCGATTTTAGAAGCGAGAAACTATTGATGCATCGATAGTATGTGTGACTTTGGATAGTTTAGTAATTGAATTCCGTTAATAAATGCACAGCGCAAAGTACAGGATGTTTGGGTGCAGACTTGCAGCCTCATTGAGCTGTTTCTTGATCTGGGTTTCAAGTTTCTTGTCAGTTATTGAAGAGACTGAAACTACTTCAACTTGTTTTTATTTCATATAAACTATACAGTCATTTGGGAAAATGACTTCAAATGAGGCAATTCAAGGTGAAAAAACACTATTGCAATAGTTGGTGGCAATAGTCTATCGCTATCGCAATAGTATGTTGCAATGGATTATCATTAACGCAATAGTTGTTTCCCCCTCAATAGTAACCTCTACTCTCTCCAACCATCCTTTTTCTAAAATAATGTTAATTCTGTGATTTTGAAATTGCTTGATTCTGATCAGTCAGTCAGAGTATTCAAGTCAGAATAAACTCTTCCATTAGAAACAGCCGATTTGATGGCTGCGTCACCACATAAGCTAATGCTTAAAGAAAAGTACTTGTCCAACATTTTATCCAGCAAGTGTTAATTGTGTACATGCATTGATAGCAACAGTGAAGGAGTGTTTTATTTATTTTTTGGCTTTTTCAAGTTAGTTTATTGAAAGACAAGGTTTACAAAGTCTGACCTTAATACACTCGATATGATTTACTCCCTGCTTGGAATACAAAGCCGAGAGTAAGATATTCAACTTACTCAGGCACTGGTCCTTCTACGCCTCTCCGATACTGTTTGGCAATTGTCCAACCAGAGACAAAGCACCTCACCATGAATAGACATGTATCTGTGTCTACCGAGGAATGTAGAACTAAGAAAGCATGGAGAGATAGGACTGACGAACTATCTCCTTGTTATTGGCACCATTCACAACCATTGTCCATTTGTCACCTGGCCGCGGCTAATTACAACTAACCACTTAGGTATGCCAGGTGATGGAACTGATCCCATTGTAGGAACAAGGTCTACTTATGTACCTAACTATTTATACACATGACTTTGCAGCAAGCTGGAGATATATCTTTTTATTTCTTGTGGAATGTGAGTACCCTATTCATACAGTGTGAGATTTGCATTTCGACAATTGGTCTGTTGTAAGATTATTTTTCTCCTGTCTTTAGTAATAAAAAGGTAAATAACTATGTGCTTGGAGATTTCAGTTTCATCTATTTGGTTAATATAATTAGTTTGTTTAAGTAGACAACTGCAAGTACAATACTGACATATTTCCTACAGGTAAACTGTACCTCTGTGTGTTGATGTTTCCAAATCACATGTATAAACATAATTTATTCATTTATATCAATTATTTTGTTCAAAGTTTTATTGGAAATAATTATTTTATTACAATACTATTTGAAAGAATATTTTTAGAAATTATATTGTTAGGAACATACTGATAAAACGTCTTATATCAAGTGCTTTTTAAGCAATGGATTTTAATTGGTGGACAGTTCCTCTAAGGTTTTCAAGGTTGTCATGCTATATTCTAATTTTAAATATAAACATTATATATATGAACATTTTGTCTGATCAGTTCATCACAGATGTAATTTTATACATGTTAATGTGTTATGTATTTGAAACAATATGTATATCATGGCCCTTTTTCATATTTCATATCTATTTTTAATCAGTGGTTTCAGTAGAACAATAAACCTTTTCCAGGTTTAATTATTGTCTCCAAATACGAAAATATTTCTTTTGTAAATATAAGTTTTCAAGATATTGTTATTCAGATTTCAACCTGTATACCAGTAAATATAAAATGTATGATAGCAATGTATTGCCATGCATACAAATCAGGGCTGAATCCATTATCTAGTAGGTTGAACATCTACCCAGAGAGCAGAAAGCCATGGTTCTTTCCTCAGGCACGTCATACTAAAAGACATTGAATGATGACAGATATTGTTAAATGGATAGCATTGGAATTATTAAACTAGGACTGGCCATCTTGGAGTCAGAATACTGTGTCTGATTCATTCATTGTTACGCTGCAGTATTTATCTAATACTGTATAACTGGCAATAATGTTAACCAGTGCAAGCAGCAACACACACATACACACTCATCGCTAAATAAGTCACCTTACCTCACCTCACCTCACCTCACCTCAACTCACCTCACCTCACCTCACCTCACCTCAACTCAACTCCTTACCTCACCTAACCTCACCTCACCCCACCTCATCTCACCTCACATCAGCTTACCTCACCTCACACCTCACCTCAGCTTACCTCACATCACCTTACCTGACCTCACCTCACCTCAGCTCACCTCAGCTTACCTCAACTCAACTCAACTCAACTCAACTCAACTCAACTCAACTCACAATCACAGATCAAGCCATATAACTAGGAATCATAATCCTTACAGAGACCATCGAATCAATTATAATAATTATTACGTTTTCTCTGATCCTAAGAAATAATGAACTTCTTACTTCAACTATATTTGAAATTATTTTGACACAGATAATCTGCTTTTATATGTGACAGTTTATCTAATTTCTTTTCTGACCTAGGGAAAAGGTTCTATACACTAGAGATACATGCACAGTGCACTTCTTTGTACATGTTAAATGAAGCTTGATGACAAGGATACGGTTAAGTTGATACAGAAGAGGCACATATATACCTTCACATTTAGAGCCACAGCATGACCGTGATTGGTCAGATGATGGGGTCAGGGGTCATGACAGATGCTGAGAAAGAAGACCATGGACATGTTTAACAGCATCTGTGCATTAGCAGTGTGTGAAGTTCTGCCTCTGTATTAGTGGTGTATGGAGTTCCTCATGCTGGGAGACCTTGTGATTGTCCAATATGACAGCAGGGGTCAAAGTTGACTTGTCAGGGCCGGTTTTGACCACATCAAAGAATGATAATGCTGTGATCATGAGGATTTAAGTTAGGAAATATTTTTATGTATGTGTTCATATTAGTTTTATCTTTTTCAGAGCCGGATGCTTTTTATGTTCCTCCGGAGTATCAGCATGATGGACACACATACAAGGTAGGAATCAATTGGAGTGAGTGAGTGAGTGAGTGAAGGGGCTGTGGTTGATACAGTACCGTATATTACCATAGATAAGCTAAATCTTGAGGACCCCAAAAATACGTCTGTAGAAGGGGGATGGCTTATCTACAGAATACACTTTCTTGAAACTTTTGTCAGAAGCCTAGTGGTTAAAGCGCTATTCGCCACAAGACCCGGTTCAATTCCCCACATGGGCACAATGTGTTAAGCCCATTTCTGGTGTCCCCCTCACTGTGATATTGCTGGAATATTGCTAAAAGCGGTAAAACTAAACTCAGTCAGTCAGTTGTCAGGGGGTAAGAAAACGACATTGTATTGCTTCAATGTGAACAAACAAGAGAAAACAAGAGAAGACGACTTTGTCAGTAAGGGCGCCAAATTTGCAATTAAACATCACTAGACAATATTATTTACCTTTTTCTGATCTAGGTTTATATGTCATATGTTACATCAGTCATGTCCACTCCCTTAATATAGGACGGTATGAATTATTGGACATACAGGACATCTTCATTGTTTCAAGGGATATATAGTGCACAAAACCTGATGGTCAGTGTAGAATGAGATGAGATGGAACCCTTGTGCTGATATTAGTGATAGTGTAGTTCTCATGACACTTTCAGCAGTATTTCTGCAATATCGTGATTGGGGACATAAGGAGTGGGCTTCACACAATGTAACCATGTGGGGATTCGAACTCAGGGGTAAAGCATGTTGAGCTAATGCTTTAACCATTAGGCTACTCCGTCACTTCAACAGTATTAGCTGAGTAATAATTCCGTTACTGTCTATGCATCATGATGCACTGTGCCATATTGGGACTTTGTGTATGTTTACAAAACAAAACACAAACATGTTCACACATACAAAGAGTCTATGCAGATTTTTCATAATTGACTATATCTTCAAAATATGTTTAGGAGTATATTTTATTAATTTGAGCTAGGGCATCCAATGTGAATGATCCAAAGCAGAGGGATATGAGCTAGGGGATCCAATACAAAGGATCCAAGATGGGGAGATGTAAAGTCAAGGATCCAATGTGAAGGATCTAAGGCAGAGGGGCATAAGGTAAAGGTTCCAATGTGAAGGATCTAAGGCAAATGGGCATAAGGTAAAGGCAGAGGATCCAGTGAAGGATAAGGTAAAGGATCCAATGTGAAGGATCTAAGGCAGAGGGTCATAAGGTAAAGGATCCAATGTGAAGGATCTAAGGCAGAGGGGCATAAGGTAAAGGATCCAATGTGAAGGATCTAAGGCAGAGGGGCATAAGGTAAAGGATCTAAGGCAGAGGGGCAGGGAAGGATAAGGCAGAGGGGCATAAGGTAAAGGATCCAATGTGAAGGATCTAAGGCAGGATCTAAGGCAGAGGGGCATAAGGTAAAGGATCCAATGTGAAGGATCTAAGGCAGAGGGGCATAAGGTAAAGGGGATCTAATCTAAGAGAAGGATCTAAGGCAGAGGGTCATAAGGTAAAGGATCCAATGAAGGATCTAAGGGCAGAGGGGCATAATCTAAGGCAGGTAAAGGTAAAGGATCCAATGTGAAGGATCTAAGGCAGAGGGGCATAAGGTAAAGGATCTAATGAGAAGGATCTAAGGCAGAGGGGCATAAAGGTAAAAGGATCCAATGTGAAGGATCTAAGGCAGAGGGCATAAGGTAAAGGATCTAATGCAGGATCTAAGGCAGAGGGGCATAAGGTAAAGGGATCCAATGTGAAGGATCTAAGGCAGAGGGGCATAAGGTAAAGGGTCCAATGTGAAGGATCTAAGGCAGAGGGGCATAAGGTAAAGGATCCAATGTGAAGGATCTAAGGCAGAGGGGCATAAGGTAAAGGATCCAATGTGAAGGATCTAAGGCAGAGGGGCATAAGGTAAAGGATCCAATGTGAAGGATCTAAGGCAGAGGGGCATAAGGTAAAGGGTCCAATGTCTAAGGCAGAGGGGCATAAGGTAAAGGATCCAATGTGAAGGATCTAAGGCAGAGGGGCATAAGGTAAAAATGGATCCAATGTGTGGTAAGGATCTAAGGCAGAGGGCAGGGGCATAAGGTAAAGGATCTAAGGCTAGGCAGAGGGGCATAAGGTAAAGGATCCAATGTGAAGGATCTAAGGCAGAGGGGCATAAGGTAAAGGATCCAATGTGAAGGATCTAAGGCAGAGGGGCATAAGGTAAAGGATCCAATGTGAAGGATCTAAGGCAGAGGGGAAGGATCTAAAGGCATAAGGTAAAGGATCTAATGTAAAAGAAGGATCTAAGGCAGAGGGGCATAAGGTAAAGGATCCAATGAGAAGGATCTAAGGCAGAGGGGCATAAGGTAAAGGATCTCAATGGTAGAAGGATCTAAGGCAGAGGGGCATAAGGTAAAGGATCCAATGCGAAGGAACTAAGGCAGATGGGCATAAGGTAAAGGATCCAATGTGAAGGATCTAAGGCAGAGGGGCATAAGGTAAAGGTTCCAAGGAACCGCAGGTTATTTCTTACCTGTGTTCACCAATGCACCTGGGTTCAGTTGTCCACATGGGTACAATGTGTGAAGCCCATTTCTGATGTGCTCCTACTGTTTATATTGCTGGAATGGTGCTAAACGGGGCATAAACCAATACCCATTCATTTATTTAGGACATAAATATTGTCTACATCAGCTGAAACACCAGACAGTTCTCACCTGTGACAGGTGTACTGTTATCTACACCTGAGACATTACCTTGATTGTCAGGACAAAGATTCCTCTTTGATGTCATATTAAGTACTTGTTACAAGAGTAGACATGCTGTGTAGGTGGATCTGTAGATGTACATACAAGTTGAGGAGACACTATATTCATTTACAGAGTGCAACATTTATGTTTAATTCCTGTATTCATACTGGTTGTGCCTCCAAGGAACACTGGCATCTTAAGCCAGGAGATTGTTTACCAAGACAAGCAGATTTATGCATTGACTTAGAAATAACTTCGCTGCACGATTGTTACACATGCTCATTCCTTTCATATTACTAATAACACACACACATTGGCTTACATTTATCTTATTCTTACTCATACTTCCATTTCAAGCAGTGAATAATTATTTTTAATAAGATTTAGATCAGCTTTAATCTTGTGCATGTGAATTTGGTCTAAATATAATTTAATTACTGTAAGGAGTAGTGCTACTACCTATAGCTAGATTGTTTAAACATTCTCCATCACAATACAGGCTCTATCATTGACAGATGCCAGCTATTGTGTATGTTACTTAAGAAAGAACTCTAAGTTCTCATAATTGTAGGTTCGATTCCTACATTTACCCAGTCCATACTTGTTGATTTTAGGGAGATGGTATAGCCTAGTGATTGAAGTGTTGGCTCATCATGCCGAAGACCCGGATTCGATTTCTCACATGGGTACAATGTGTGAAACCCATTTCTGGTGTCCCCTGTCGTGATATTGCTGGAATATTGCTAAAAGCGGTGTAAAACCATACTCACTCACTCACCCCACTTTTTTATTTCCTCAGTGTGGTGAACACCTTCAAAATGCATCATCTCAGCTTTCCTCAAACATTGACTTTACAAGCAACTAAATGAAATGTTGATCCTTCAGTCATGTTATACCAGACTTCAGTCCTGACACTTCCTTCAACACACGCAGGGTCTAGAGGGTGGGCTTTAATACCTGTCCTTTGTTCTTCAAACTACATTGATACTGACCCAAGTATTTATTTGTTATGTGGTAAATCAATCATGTAAACAAGCACCTGCGTCAGCCATGTTTATCTTGTGAGATCAATGAGGGTAGAGCCTCTTCAATGATATATGGCCATTGATAGCCTGTTACATGTGTTTTAAAGTATGGTCTAAGACCACTTCCTCACTCTCTTCAGGAACGTCAAGACTAACATGATCAGTACCGCAAGTCATTCAGTTATGGATATGCTTCCATCATTTTGATGCGTTAATGAATGGGATACTGTTCAGAAATAAACTAGCATGGGCTTCAGAAGGCTTAACTTATTTCAGAAAATGGTGAACATTGTGAAAGATTTAGGAATTGCTCAAATTCTGATCCATCAGTCAAAGGTTTCAAATTCCAATAACCACCCCTGAATCAGGTAATGTGACGATCTAATGTGAGTAAAATATCATGATGGAAACAGGCAGTGTTCGAGCAAATACAGTATCATACTTTGTTTACAGGTTATTATCTGTGTTTTCACTAAAACATCATGTTTAACCAAGTCCACTGAATAACGTTCCTGACACTTATTAGTGATGCATTAAATTTTTGAAGAATGAACTTAAACATATTGATGTCATATAAATTTGCAACTGATGTGAAATCCTTTAATTGAGAACTCCTTTAGGTTGTTGTTTATATTTTTTATTCATAAGCACCTATATTCCTACTGTCTTAAATAATAGTGTCTGGACCAGACAAACACATGTCTGGCCTCCTGAGCATTGATCTAATATTCTACGCTACTGGGATATGATGATATACGTCAACTAAGTCACCAGCCTGATGATTCAGTCCTGTTTGTCGCCTCTTATGACAAGCATAGGTGGCTGAAGTCCAATTCTGACCTAAATGTTCAGGGGACAAATTCCTGTAAGTTGATATATATTGTTTGAGGTGTGTGCATTAACAGGAAATGACGTGGGTAGACATATGCAGGATTGTCAATAGTTCTCTTGAATGGTTCCCATGAATAGTTTTCATGGCTGTATGAATTTTCTGAATACCTGAGCAAATTTTAAGTTCCAATGGTATGTTGATAGTCTGTGAATGGTATAATGCATACCAACGGACCAGAACATTTTGATTGTTTCAGATTTTCAGTTGTGTTTATTAATTACGTAAATACAAAACTTGACTAGAGCTTTTAATGCTATTTGTTTTACATATTTGTTGACATTAATTTCTATTTCATGGTAGTTTAGACAAGAAACAATTAATACATTTTATTGCTTTTCAGTCCCAGCTGTTTTCGCTGGGGATGACAATGCTGTATGCTGTGGAACACCATGATGAACACAAGCCAGAGTTGAGTCAGAAGTTGACCGATCTCCTCAGTCGGCCTGACGGCCGATGACCAGAATCAGAGACCTGAGCTGGACACTGTGATATCACACTGTGAAGAAGAGCTTGATGGACAATCTTCCCAGGATATATGTCTCATCCTGTCCACAGTCCCACCATCAAATAGCTCTCAAGAAGGTAGTATATCTGTCTACTCATTCCTCATCCAGTTCTAAGGAAAATAGTATATCTATCTGTCTCTGCTTGGTCATTCCTGGTTCTCTGGAAGATAGTATATTTATTTTTCTCTGGGTAGTCATACCCTCACCTAGTTTTTAAGGAAGGTAGTATATCTGCCTGTCTCTAGTCCTGCTCTCACTAATTAAGTTCTGTGGAAGATAGTATGTATATCAGTGTAAACTTCCAACAACACTACTGGTGATCTAACTGGTTTTGTTTCATTTCAGCCAATGGCAGCAGTATTCTTGATCTAACAAGCGGCCTTACCCAATATCTCCAATCTCAATCAACCTTCGTCAGCCAGTCACCCCTTCCATTTTCTCCACCCACTGAATCCGTTAACTCACCACACGTGACCATGGATCATCAGTATCAGCATGTACAAAGGACTGAACAGCATTCTTCAGGGAAACATCATCATCATAGGGAGACTCCATATTTGGATAAAAACCAAAATGTGACCAGTGTTGGTAGTAAACATTTTGTGTCTGACATTCAAAGGCATAACAGTAACCAATCACACGAGCAGAGTAGACGGACAATAGAATACTCATCGTCAGTAGATCGTGAGGGATATTACCCCGAGGATCATGTGACTTCCAAGATGGCCAGTAGTGGACATAGTCCTGGCATCCAGGAGTCCAGTGTGGATGGTGTTACAGGACACAGTGTGAGGACAGCTGGCTCCTTCCACACGAACCACCATAAACATAGGACAGATCCCAGAATGTCACAGCAGGTACGTCCTGGTGGTGAACCTTCCACTGAGCAGACGGAATACATTCAAAATGGCCAGTTTTCCTTGCCAGAGAACACCTCAACGCCTACATCCTCAGGTGTAGAAGACAATCAACCTTCACCTTCACCTGCTAAAGAAAGGAGGAAACAGGTAAGAGTTGTCTTTCCTTCTATCACATTCATAATCATCTATTTTTATGTAATTTTCCTCAGTTTGGTACATATTTTCACAATTTATCACTGTTGATATATAAGGCCGTCCATATTTTTTCTGTGATTCCAATCTCCCACCAGCCCTTCAGTTTGTATTCTCCCAGTTTCCGCTGGATGGGAAAATTCTTTATCAACAATTATCACAATTTCCGAATCACAGCGACTTGATTTTAGGCTTCATAAAATCAATTTCAAGTCTATTACCAAGTGACCCGTGAAGATCTTGGTTAGAATTGATCTTCAGTAACCCATGCTTGTCGTAAGAGGCGACTAACGGGATTGCATGGTCAGGTTCGCTGACTTGTATTGTATCCCACTGATCGATGCTCATGCTGTTGATCACTGGATTGTCTAGTCCAGACTCGATTATTTACAGACCTCCGCCATATAGCTGGAATATTGCTGAGTGCGGCATAAAACTAAACTCATTCACTCACTCACTCACTATTACCAAGTGATCTAGCTGTTACAAAGATGGCGTGCTGATTAAAGTGAGTTCTATACACAGATTGGTTATTGAATAATTAACAACTCAGTGAGTAAAGTGGCCAAAATTGTGTTATGTATGGTCAGGCACATATAAAATTAAACATGGTCTGTTTAAAAGTAGTATCATGTGTATCTGAAAATGTTGACAGGGTATGACAATCGGGGATATTCTTGACTGGATCAACCGCTACCTAAATGAGCAGGAACTATGGGCCATGTGTCGAGAGGGAGTCCTTGCCCTTCAGAGGAAAAAGAAGCATCTTCGTAAGTAGACAAGTAGAGGGGCTCACAGGTATATGAATCCATAGCAAGTGTGGCATTTGATTGGCTTACCAAGCAATATTTTTACACCTTAAAGTCGAATGCTGTTTCCTGATTGGCTGATAATAGAGAGAGCGAGGCTTTAGTATCATTCTTGTGCTGAATGATGTCACTGATTTCATATTGTGTGATTATAATTAAGAAGCAATATGAAACGATTATTGAGGAGTGCAATAGTGCAGTGGTAAGGCGTCTGCCTATCACGCAGAAGGCCCGGGTTTGATCCCCGATGGAGGCACCTAGGTTTGGGTCCCGAGGTGGGCACATTTGCATAGTATCCTTAGACAAGATACTTAGATCCACATTGTCTCAGTTCAACAGCTGTAAAATGGGTACCCGTGAGGATGTGCTGGCAATGTGAGTGTTTAGTTCATTGCGCCTAACAGGCAGCATGGCTGTATGCTCCCCAGGGAGTTGAAAAAGTATCGGAAAGTACGATAGTGTCATATGACCGAGAATGGTAATGTACGTAGCGCTGTGAGCAGGCAATGTGCTTGGATATGAGCGCCATATAAGTGGACTATTACTATTACTATTATCATTGACATAATTATCATAAGAATTGACTTCAATATCATTTGGCATTTCTTGAGATATTAACTTTATTATGTGAATAAACTGCAGAGAACAGTATGTACACTATTTTTATGTTCATATACACACACAATTGAAACACCCAGTCCAGAGTAAAACAGTTATGTATTTTAGGTTTTTGCTGGTGACTATGTCAAATGCAGGAAGAAAATACAAGCAGCTGTTGCTGTTGGCTTGTGCTAAGATCCTCCCCTGCAGATAATGTTGAAATAGAAGTACATGTAATAGTCTTAGCTATTTTCACGTCAAGCTGTCTTTGTTTTCAGTCATTGACATGCAGAAGACGAAGACGAAAGCCCAGATAATTCCTGTTTTTAATCAGTATTTACAGTTCACAGTACATGTGTTGTGCTTCTTTTGCAGCAGCCTATATCTCCCCCGATACACTGGTAGTACGCGGAGATGGCAGTGTGACCTTCAAGGCAATCCCAGAAGACAAACCTCTAGAGGTCATCTTCATGGCACCAGAACTTCAACAGAAGGGTGTCCTGTCTGAGAAGGTAGCCATGCCGCTAGTATAATACCACAGATCCCACCCATTTTCATTAATATTCTCCAGCAGAAAGAATCCCTTCAATCCTTATCTGTTTCAGCCACGATATAACTTTATTATTGTAATAGATCAAGAATATTACTTAATGGGAAATACATGTTTCTATACGGGAGGACACAGATGGCCCTGTAATCTCAAGCACTGCAGAGTTGCTTCCCTTGGACTGTTAGAGAATTATGATCATGGGTTTGAATCCTGATTTTCCACGATAATGTTTCTAGGTTTATTAGCACCACAAGCCTCAAGGATTTTAAAAAAGTGGTCTGAGAATTGCAACATCTCAGAAATGTAACTGAAACTGATGCCCCATGATATAACTGGAACAGTGTTCAAAGTGAAGTTAAATCTACCTCACCACGTCACCACGTGATTGATGCTAAATTGATCCATGACAGGAAGTGTAAGTCATCTGATTCCAATTGCAGACTTGCCTGTACGGTTTGGGCATCACCCTGCGGTGTGTGGCCGGCCAGAAGTACTCCACCTCCCTGTCTCTCAGGGTCAGCCAGAACTTCGAACAGCTTCTGCTGGGGCTGCTGCAACCAACCCCCGATAGCAGACCCTCCCTACAGACCTGTCTCCAGGTAATACAGACCCTCCCTACAGACCTGTCTCCAGGTAATATAGACCCTCCCTACAGACCTGTCTCCAGGTAATACAGACCCTCCCTAGACCTGTCTCCAGTAATACAGACCCTCCCTACAGACCTGTCTCCAGGTAATACCCTAGACCTGTCCCAGGTACAGACCCTCCCTACAGACCTGTCTCCAGGTAATACAGACCCTCCCTACAGACCTGTCTCCAGGTAATATAGACCCTCCCTACAGACCTGTCTCCAGGTAATATAGACCCTCCCTACAGACCTGTCTCCAGGTAATACAGACCCTCCCTACAGACCTGTCTCCAGGTAGTACAGACCCTCCCACAGACCTGTCTCCCCTCCCTACAGACCTGTCTCCAGGTAATACAGACCCTCCCTACAGACCTGTCTCCAGGTAATCCTTACAGACCTCTCCCTACAGGTCCCCAGGTAATACAGACCCTCCCTACAGACCTGTCTCCAGGTAATACAGACCCTCCCTACAGACCCTCTTGACCCTCTGTCCAGGTAATATAGACCCTGTCCCTACAGACCTGTCTCCAGGTAATACAGACCTCCCTACAGACCTGTCTCCAGGTAATGCAGACCCTCCCTACAGACCTGTCTCCAGGTAATATAGACCCTCCCACAGACCTGTCTCCAGGTAATATAGACCCTCCCTACAGACCTGTCTCCAGGTAATGCAGACCCTCCCTACAGACCTGTCTCCAGGTAATACAGACCCTCCCTACAGACCTGTCTCCAGGTAATATAGACCCTCCCTACAGACCTGTCTCCAGGTAATACAGACCCTCCCTACAGACCTGTCTCCAGGTAATATAGACCCTCCCTACAGACCTGTCTCCAGGTAATGCAGACCCTCCCTACAGACCTGTCTCCAGGTAATACAGACCCTCCCTACAGACCTGTCTCCAGGTAATATAGACCCTCCCTACAGACCTGTCTCCAGGTAATGCAGACCCTCCCTACAGACCTGTCTCCAGGTAATATAGACCTTCCCTACAGACCTGTCTCCAGGTAATACAGACCCTCCCTACAGACCTGTCTCCAGATAATATAGACTCCTCCCTACAGACCTGTCTCCAGGTAATATAGACCCTCCCTACAGACCTGTCTCCAGGTAGTACAGACCTTCTCTACAGACCTGTCTCCAGGTAATACAGACCCTCCCTACAGACCTGTCTCCAGGTAATATAGACCCTTCCTACAGACCTGTCTCCAGGTATTACAGACCCTCTCTACAGACCTGTCTCCAGGTGATCTAGATACTCCCTCGTCAGCCCAAACTTGTATATTCCAGATGTGTGACAACCACGAAGCAGAGGGCAACCCACCCTCCAAGCTGTCCTGCCAGGAACTGTATGACACAGCAGTCAACACCTCTGTGAGTGGCTGGATATCATGGACTGATATCATTTATTGACCCCATTTATTAATAATTATTGATATCAAACACTGAAACCGTTCATTGATAAATATTGATATCACACACTGAAACCATTCATTGATAAATATTGAGATCACACACTGAAACCATTCACTGATAAATATTTCTGTCATAAACTGAAATAATATGTACTGATATATAATGATTTCATATGTTAATAATGCTATATCTTTCCATTTGTATTTTGAAGTTACTTTATAAATTCAACATAATGATACTCGAAGATTATTTTGTTCTACAAGCAACAGGTAACATGTCTTAATATATTCCCTCAGAAACTACCACAGCCACCTCAACAGCTCCAGCTGCCCCAACAGACACCTCCACCGCCGCCCATCCCCCCTCCACCACAGGATGATGATGATGTGGTTTCTGAGGAGGAGCTGAACCTTGAATATGTTGTGGAGGAGGAGCAGGACCTGGGCTACGATCACATCCAGGGGGTCAGTACTTGTGTGGGTGATCACATCCAGGGGGTCAGTACTTGTGTGGGTGATCACATCCAGGGGTCAGTGTGTGGGTGATCACATCCAGGGGGTCAGTGTGGGTGATCACATCCAGTGGGTGATCACATCCAGGGGTCAGTGTGGGGTGACTTGTGTGGGTGATCACATCCAGGGGGTCAGTACTTGTGTGGGGATCACATCCAGGGGTCAGTACTTGTGTGGGTGATCACATCCAGGGGTCAGTACTTGTGTGGGTGATCACATCAGTGGGGTCAGTACTTGTGTGGGTGATCACATCCAGGGGTCAGTACTTGTGTGGGTGATCACATCCAGGGGGTCAGTACTTGTGTGGGTGATCACATCCAGGGGTCAGTACTTGTGTGGGTGATCACATCCAGGGGTCAGTACTTGTGTGGGTGATCACAGGGGTCAGTACTTGTGTGGGTGATCACATCCAGGGGTCAGTACTTGTGTGGGTGATCACATCCAGGGGGTCAGTACTTGTGTGTGATCACATCCAGGGGGTCAGTACTTGTGGGTGATCACATCCAGGGGTCAGTACTTGTGTGATCACATCCAGGGGTCAGTACTTGTGTGATCACATCCAGGGGGTCAGTACTTGTGTGTGTGATCACATCCAGGGGTCAGTACTTGTGGGGATCACATCCAGGGGTCAGGTGGGTGATCAAATCCAGGGTGCAGAACTTGTGTGGGGGATCACATCCAGGGGGTCATGAGGAGGATCATCCTTAAATATGACAAGCATTTGGGATTTGGGGAGGCTGCATCAAGGACCTATGACCCACCCAGCCCTGTAGTAAAGACTGATACCTTACAGGCCACATCGGTACAGCTGGAATACTGCTGACTGTGATGGAAACATGCCTACTTATATTATCCTGTGTACAAAGAACCAAGATTATTTCACCAAAGTGTTTCACTAAAATGTTTTGTCTTTATGCAGCACTCCTCAACAGATGGGAATGCTTTGGATGACGAAGAAGAGTTCTGTGTGGACGACCCCGCTGAGTTTGAGGTACCTTCCCCTCCCCCAGGCTTCAAGTCAGTCAAGAAGAATCCCACTGAGCAGTCAATTGGGGATCTGCCTTCAAGCCAGTAGCACTGAAGCCTGGTCCGTCTGGAAATGGAGGCCAGCGAGTGCCCAGTGCCTTTTCTTCCCCTGCCACTCATTTCAAACCAATAGTGCTTCATGATGCTTCCACTGATGCCAGTGTGCAGGAGGAGACTAAAACTAAAGACTTTGATTTCAAGGAAAAGGAAACCGAGGTTATGAAAAAGCTTCGAGAGTTAAAGAGTGATTTATCTAAACCAAGAAAGCTTTTTGCAAAAGAGTTTGAAAGTAGTGACGATAGTCGAACTGACAGTAGTAATAGTGGAAAGGAACCAGGAGCCAGCCCCCTGGAGTCTCTCCTGAAGCAGCTCCAAGTTCAAGGTCAGATGCCCAACACCCAGAGTCTTGCGTCAGCCATTGCCCAGCACCTCAAGGGTCAAGTTGCGAGTGAGAACAACTCCCATGATGCAGCTGAAATGATTAACCCACAACAGGTTCCTCACAGGATGACAAGCGGACCTCCTCTTCCACCAACCATGGCCTCCAGTGTTGTTCAGCAGCAGATGTTATCTCCAGCACACTATCCAAGCATGATGGGCCCAGGGACATCCTACCCTCTTGCAGTTCCTACTCAGATGGACAGAGCTGTTACGTTCCCGATGCAGTACGGCGGGTACCCAGGATTACCTCCCTTTCAGATGCAGTTGCAGCAGGACCCAAGGACAGGGATGGTGAGCTGGGTTCCTGTCATGCCCTTCTCCTCCCAACCAGCCCTTGGCTCCTCCCTCCCGATCAGCCAGTCCCCAGAGTTCTACAGGAACACCTCCAGTATCGCCAGTCAGCCATTGTCCGGATACTCCAGCGATGCTCAATCCAGTCACCACAAGTCAGAGCTGAATGACTCCATGAAGGATGAGGAGCTGAGTTCATCTCCAAATCGGAGTCGAGTTCCGTCTTCTGCTTCCAGTACAAAGAGTGGAAGGGAATATGTGTCGCCACAAAGAAGAACTGTATCCCAAACATCCCCAGATGGCTACACATCTGAAGCTAATGTCCTCAGCAGACAACGATCACAGCAGTTTCATAATTCAAGTCCAGTTTCGAGTCAAGGAAAACAAAACGTGCATAATCCACCCCAGCATGACTTTCATGGTCGGCTGATAAAGGAATCCAGATCTAGTCCTCATTATAAGCATTTCCAAAGTTCCATGAAATCTATGTCTGTGCCAGATCACCAACCAGAGTCTCCAGGTGCTACAACTCCTCAAAGATTATCCAATCAAAATGTGACCAATGATGATCCCAATGACTCCCAAACCTCCTCTCCATCTCCATCAAAAGACAGCGGCGTGAGCGGCGTCCAAGTTGGCACCAAGGCTTACCCCTACACCAACACCGATGCCAGTCTCATCGATAGGCTTCTCAGTCCAGAGAGCCTTCATAGACAACAAGTTCAAGGTCGTGTCCTTCAGCTTGTAAGAGAAGGGCAGGGATTTGATATGCTCTTTGAGCAGAATTCAGAAGACTGTGCAATGGGTAAGAACGTTTCCTTAAGTATTATTGTGAGGACATTTTGTGATTGGAGTATTTTGTAAGTATTACAGCAGTAATAATAATGGCACCGGAAACCACAAATAGGCTTCACACATTGTGGCCCATGTGGGGAATTGAACCCAGGTTGTCTGTCTAAAATAAACACTCAATAAATAACCATTCCTTAGGGCATGTGATACTCTCTTGTGATACTGTTCATAGTAGACAGTAAATAATATGATATATTGATATACCATGCCACTTTTTGTTAAATGTGGAAGTGTTGTTATCATCATTATGAAATGCAGAGTATTTTCAATCCACAATTTATTGTGTTCAGGACATTTTTTGAGTATGAGTGGAGTTGAAGCATGTTCTGAACAATATTTAGTCAGTTTTGCAATGACAAATTACTGGCAATCCCTATATTATGCCAATCTTTCTCTTTCATGAAATCCATGAGCACATGTAATGTTGAAGTGTTCATACAGGGAAGTGAGTGGTCGTTTAATAAGGAGGAGAGAGACAGTGGTATTGGTTGTGTGGCTATTTCCTGACACCTCCAGCCCACTCAACCTCACCCCACCTCAACTTATGAGGCCCTAATAAATTTCGTTTCTGTATCATTTTAAAATGTATAACTCTGTTTTATTTGAAAAATAATAATGTGTCATTTAGGAACCTCCCCTCTTTACCTGTGTCTAAGTATTGGGGCAAGAGGTGCTATGGAGGTTCAGTCTTTAGATCTTTAACATAACAAGATGTTCACATGTGATGTCTGGAGGTCACATGACCTCCATTGCACAATGCCATTATCCTAGAAAATATTTCATCTTCAAATGTCATTTTTTATTTCAGCTGAATACATAACATCACTTGCTAATTTGAAGTGGGAGACGTTTGCAAGTGCCATCACTGAGAAGTACAGTCAGCTGTACTGGGGGCAGGAGCTGCTCTCTAAACTGTATGACATCATCAATGCCCGCCCTGTCCAAACTAGGTACTGTCTATATTGTCTGTCTGTGGACTAACACTGTATAACACTGTATGACATCATCAATGCCCACTGTATGGCATCATCAATGCCCGACCAGTCCAGTCCAAACTAGGTACTGTCTATATTGTCTGTCTGTGGACTAACACTGTATAACACTGTATGACATCATCAATGCCCGCCCTGTCCAAACTAGGTACTGTCTATATTGTCTGTCTGTGAAGGAACACTGTATAACACTGTATGACATCATCAATGCCCGCCCAGTCCAAACTAGGTACTGTCTATATTGTCTGTCTGTGGACTAACACTGTATAACACTGTATGACATCATCAATGCCCGCCCAGTCCAAACTAGGTACTGTCTATATTGTCTGTCTGTGAAGGAACACTGTATGACATCATCAATGCCCACCCTGTCCAAACTAGGTACTGTCTATATTGTCTGTCAGTGGACTAACACTGTATATTGTCTGTCAGTGGACTAACACTGTATAACACTGTATGACATCATCAATGCCATCACAGGCTGTCTATATAGTGTCTGTCTGTCAGTGGACTAACACCGTATAACACTGTATGACATCATCAATGCCGCCCAGTCTGGTACCGTCTAATTGTCACTGTATGACATCATCAATGCCCGTATAACACTGTAGTCATCATGCCTATATCGGAGGCCAAACACAAACTAGGTCTGTCTGTGAAGGAACCAACATCATCAATGTCTGTCTGGTACTGTCTATATTGTCTGTCAGTGGACTAACACTGTATAACACTGAATGACATCATCATCAATGACATCACAGTCCAAACAAGGTACTGTCTATATTGTCTGTCTGTGGACTAACACTGTATAACACTGTATGACATCATCAATGCCCGCCCAGTCCAAACTAGGTACTGTCTATATTGTCTGTCTGTGAAGGAACACTGTATAACACTGTATGACATCATCAATGCCCGCCCAGTCCAAACTAGGTACTGTCTATATTGTCTGTCAGTGGACTAACACTGTATAACACTGTATGACATCATCAATGCCCGCCCAGTCCAAACTAGGTACCGTCTATATTGTCTGTCTGTGAAGGAACACTGTATAACACTGTGTGACATCATCAATGCCCTCCCAGTCCAAAGTAGGTACTGTCTACATTGTCTGTCTGTGAAGGAACACTGTATAACACTGTATGACATCATCAATGACATCATAGGCCAAACATAAACAGGTAGTGTCTACATTGTCTGTCAGTGGACAAACACTGTATGACATCATCAATGCCCGCCCAGTCCAAAATAGGTACTGTCTATATTGTCTGTCTGTGAAGGAACACTGTATGACATCATCAGTGCCATCACAGGCCAAACATAAACAGGTAGTGTCTACATTGTCTGTCAGTGGACGAACACTGTATAACACTGTATGACATCATCAATGCCCGCCCAGTCCAATCTAGGTACCGTCTATTTTGTCTGTCTGTGAAGGAACACTGTATAACACTGTAAATGCCCGCCCAGTCCAAACTAGGTACTGTCTACATTGTCTGTTACAGTGGACGAACACTGTATAACACTGTATGGCATCATCAATGCCCGACCAGTCTAAACTAGGTACTGTCTACATTGTGACGAACACTGTATAACACTGTATGACATCATCAATGCCCTCGCAGGCCAAACACAAACTAGGTACTGTCTACATTGTCTGTCAGTGGACAAACACTATATAACTCTCTTGACATCATTGGCACTAGTTTTGTATGTCAGCCCTTGACCCAATGGACAATTTAATCGATGAGTATTGACAGATTTCAATTTATGTATAGTAAATTAGTAAAGTTATAGTAATTCAGAAAGTGAGAGTGATGTGAGACAAAGTGAGACAGAAATGAACATTTGTGACACTAAAGTATTTTAGAGTTTGGGACAGAAAATAGAGTAGGTAAATATTTAAAGCCAGCTTTACAAATCAAATTTAGTACATACTTTAAAAATATTAATGGAAATATTCACTAAACCTATATATCCAAATAACCTAATGAATACAAAGATGTTCGTGCCAATGAGCACCAGCACATACATAGTTCCCAGTGTAGTGTATAGCTTGTATGCCATAGCACAGGGCCCTTTGTGTGTGTCACTATATCACATTGTTAAACACTCCTTTCCTGTGTGCAACAATGTCGTAACAATAGGTTGTCTGTTGCTATATATACTTATATATCTCACAAATCTGTCCACATGCTAGATTCTAATATGTTCAAAACATTTTATATTTAGTTTCCTTGTCTCCTTCTCTTGTCCTTCTCCACTTCTTATCAATTTAATTTTCCTCCCCTCTTCCTCATTTTCTCTTTCTTCTCCTCCCCTCCAATATATTCTATTTGTACTCATCCCCCCCCTTGTACGTTTTCTTCTCCTCCCTGGCTCCTTATCAACTCACCAAGGTTTCTTCATGTTCCCTCATCTATCTTGTTATTTTTCTTCTCATCATAATTATTTTTTCTCCATGCCTTCATATTCTTTTTCTTCTCCTCCTCCCATCTGTTCTCCTCCTTCCCTATCTTTTCTCCTCCACATCTTTCCAAGTCCTTCCATCTATTCTCCTCCTCCTCCCCAGCTTTTTTCCTCCTTCAATCTCTTCTCTTTCTCTATCTTTTCTTCTCTTCCTTGTTGTTTCTCCTCTTTCCCTATCTTTCTCCTCCACATTCTTTTTCCTCTTTCCCTATCTGTTCTCCCCTCCCATCTATTCTCCTCCTTCCCAATATTTTCTCTTTTGCCCCTATCTTTCTCCTCCTCTCCTATATTTTCTCCTCTCTTTATATATTCTCTTCCCCTATCTTTTCTCCCCTCCCATCTGTTCTCCTCCACATCTTTCTCTTCCTCCCTATCTTTTCAAATCCTTCAATCTATTCTCCCAGTATATTCTCCTCCTTCACTATCTATTCTCCTCATCTATTCTCCTCCTTTGCATCTTTTCTCTTTCGCCCCTATCTTTCTCCTCTTCCTCCCCATCCTTCTTCTCTCCCTATCTTTCTCCTCCTCCCATGTTTTGTCTTTCTCTCCATGTTTCTCCTCATCTTTTCTCCTCCCCATGTTTCCACCTCTGCTTTTATTAAGAAAACAACACATTTTGCAGCCAATATTAACTTTTATAGAAATAACGATAAACATATATGGTGGTAGTTTAGACACAGTAAATATTTTCTTTGGAGTGAACATGATGTAGGAGAGCTTGCATGACAACAATGTCACAATTCATATGTGTTCTATAGAACCACACACAGGAGAGAAAAAAAAAAGAAAATAGCCTGTTTTCCTCTCCATATCAAAATATCAAAATTGATAACATTTTTATGATAAGAGAAAAATGACTCCCGACTGTTGGTGTTTGTTTTTGTTATTTAGTCTTCCTCAATGTTACTTTGATACATGTCACAGTACATGGTAACATTAGTCAACCGGATACAAGTCAACAAGGAAGTTTAAAATACTTCTGGTTAACAAATTATCTCAGCAGTTTTATAAACATTTCATACAGCACAGTATTCAGTTGTGGTTTCTGAAAGGTAGGTAGGTTATAGTTGATTGCTTGTCAATTAGACGTCATTGCAGATGGTCTACCACAAGAACATAAGAGAGGTAACTGATAAGTCATGATTAGCAATGGTAAAGTAAATTTTTATGTACCCTGGCATAGGAAGTTACATGTACAATGGAGAATATGAATCACAAATCAAAGTTCATCATAGGACTGAATTTATGATTCACAAAAAATAAATTAACAGATGAGTTGAAATGTTGATTCATGTGACTTAGGATCTTAGCCCTGGGTGCTGTTGTACAAAGCAATCTTAGCACTGAGGTGATGTAACTCCCATGGTGCTGTTGTACAAAGCAATCTTAGCACTAAGGTGATGTAACTCCCATGGTGCTGTTGTACAAAGCAATCTTAGCACCAAGGTGATGTAACTCCCATGGTGCTGTTGTCCAAAGCTCCTGTGGTACAATCTTAGCACCAAGGTGATGTAACTCCCATGGTGCTGTTGTACAAAGCAATCTTAGCACCAAGGTGATGTAACTCCCATGGTGCTGTTGTTCAAAGCAATCTTAGCACTAAGGTGATGTAACTCCCATGGTGCTGTTGTAAACAATCTTTAGCAATCTTAGCACCAAGGTGATGTAACTCCCATGGTGCTGTTGTACAAAGCAATCTTAGCACTAAGGTGACCCTTACTCCATTACTCAAACGTAGACTTACGACTGCTACTGTGAAGGGAGGACTCTCGTTTGCAGCATCCCTCATATTCTGTCATACAGACCCAGAAACAAATATATGCAAGAAAACCCATGCAAGTCTAGAATGTGTTGCAGTCTAGATTTCCACAGTTTTTGAAAATGAAGAAAGTCTCAGGGCTCCTTTTCATTATATTATATATTTTTTTTTTTCATGATGAACATTTTTTTCTGTAAAATATATTGATTTCGGAGACTAGTGGTTAGCCTACTTCCCTCACATATCCTGTTACATCAATATTGTTCCCTTATCTTCCAAACCTGCCTTGTGTTATTATTCAGCACCTAATATGACATAGATGCACATGTACTCACCTCGCTCACTTAACACTTTCTGTATGTCATACCATGACTTTTAGTTGGTGATAATGTATATAGTCCCTGTAAATTATTCTATTTTTTCATAAATATCTTCTTTTTTTTACCATTATGCTGAAAACACATAAATACTTTCTTCTTTTGAGGATATAAATGCCTTGATAATAAATATCTATTCCAACAGTGTTGAAAGTGTCCTTGATACAGGAAAATATCCAATCGACTGAAACAAGCACTTGTTAAAGAACAAATAAACTTTGTTTTTTTGTACTCTTTTAACTATTACATATGAAAGATGTGTGGTTAGTCTTATGCGGAACACTAAATTCATTCTTAAAAAAACTTGTGATTAATTAATACCAAGCGATTAAAAGTTGCCAAAAAGTCGCCTGCTTCACTCTCGCGCGCCAACAAAACCACAGACAGGTTACGTAACTCTGTCGCTCGAGCACTGCAGTGACGTCATATGAGGAACGATTTTCAGTTAGTTGTATATAAAGTGTGTAGCAAGCTCGTCATTTTGATGATTTCTCGACATCAACGAAGACATGCCAAATGGTTGCGTTGTCGTCAATTGCTCCTAGGAGTCGGCCGATGGTGTCACCATGCACAGATTTCCACAGGACCCCGCAGTTCTTGCTAAATGGGTTATGTTTGTGAGTGCGAAGCGAGCATTGTGGAAGCCTGAAATGATATCGTACTTGTGTTCAGATCGCTTCACGGAAGTTAAAGAATCAAAACTACTTACTAGTTGTAGTAAAATATGTATAAGATTGATGACCATAAAGATTGTCCATGACACAACTTGTAACATAACGATTTCTTCCTCGGAAGCAAGGTTGTGGTCGAGGTAACAATAATACTGTAAGTAGTATTATATTGACACCCACCTCTCTTCCACGAGAGAAATTGTTATGTTATAAGCTATGTCATGCAAAATCCTATTGGCCATCAATTAAATACATCTTTTACTACCAGTAGAAATTAGTTTTGATTTTGTAACTCGGTGAAAACAAACCTAAATAGCATTTATCCTCAGACTGGTGGATGTTCGCGACAGGACGCCGCCATTTTTTAAAATCGTAAAGTCACGGGCTAAAGTCTGTTAGAATTAATGAGATTATGGTTTGTTTTCATCAAGTTCGAAAATCAAAACTACTTTCTACTTGTAGTTAAATATGTATTTGACTGACTGATGACTGAGTTTAGTTTGAATCATGATCAAAAGGATTTTGCATGACACAACTTATAACATAACGATTTCTTCCACGGAAGCGAGGTGGGGGGTCGAAGTGACAATACTGCGCGATAAATTTCTTGCTACATTCACGTGGTTAACGTTCACCTACCAGTATGTAGATACTAGTCAATGTATGACTTTATATTTGGTCTTATGATCCTAATTAGTTTATTATCATACTTGTATGCATTTTGAAACTAAATAAAAAGCAGACGATCTGCTGATACTTATAGTGAATTTATAACCGGACTGTAATATCTAGACATTTTACAGTTTGCCAATGTGAATCATAATTCGTACACACACCCTAGTGTATGTTGTCTGTCTCATTACACTTCATGGCGAAAACAATGATTCTGTTGAATGCTATGACAAATGAATAAAATACAAAATGCAAATATTAAAATTAAAACAGATTAAAGTTATAGGAACAGTGTCAGGCTATTACCTTGTTCGAGGAATGTATCCATCAATATCCACAAAAACGAGTGATATGCCATTCATCTGCAGCTGTTCCAAGTGATGTGTCTTTTAACAGTCTAATATGACATATCGTTTCAGGTATTTCACATTGGTGTATAGTCTCATTGGTCACCCAAGATAGCACACCTGGCAACTAATTGCATACTGTCCGCCATTCATTAAAAAAAGTAATTTAGTTAGCCAGTAATGATCAATCAATCAATGTATTGGCAGTTAATCCTTTGAAAGAAGGACGTTGTTTTTCGCAGACACATACACGACAGAGTGTATTCAGTATAGATTAGTAAATCTACACACATAAACACTACCTTTTGACAAATCCGCTGTGCAAGATAAAAGTAATTAATCAATCAGCATGTTATCGGTTAATCCTTTGATCGATGTTTATAATGTTGAGTATTTAATCCAGACACAAGATATGCCAAATGGGAACCTTTGTCGGGTAATCTAAGTGGTGTTACCACTAATTATGCCTGTTATAAATTCTGACCATCAAGTGAATGATGACAAATAACATGTGTAGGTTTATACCACCTAACACGGGTTACAACAAGGGAGTATTAATTGCTGTATTGCATGCGATAACTTATGGTCCGACACTGTTTTGAGAATATGAACAGAAACTTCATTGTTGCGTAAGAAATACATATAAGCATTTGCTGTGTGGTAAAACTGTATATGTACCTATTTACCTAAGTAAATTTTCAGATTCTTCTAGCAATGGCAAAGTAGGGTTGTTTAGTTTACGGATTCAAATAAATCAAATGTCAATTTTTAATATCATACGTAATAGACGTCATATTTTTACATGACATGATTAAATATCGAGGTTAAAAAACACAGAAATGGGATCAATTTGGATCAGTCATTATACCATCCAGGCATTAGAAAACCTGAAAAAGCCCACACTGCTTTGATACTTTATTACAATCAGACAAGAACTACCGGGGATATTTTCAAATAACTGCATCTGATGGGCATCCACCCTTCTTAATGTCGCACTGTTTAGGTTGAAGAAATTAACCGTAACCGTGATGAGCGAGGCTGATCATCGTTTTCACTATCACAAGCGTCTGGCTCGAACAAATAAGGCCTAGCGACACCAAGCGATTTTGACAGAATCGTCTATGAACTCGAAACTAGGCAAAGCAGGAGACAGAATTAAATGACAGGAGATTGTGAGAACATAGAGCTTTCATTTTTCACAACAGTTGTCACGATTTCAGGTTTATACAAACCTGTAAACAAGAAAATTTACCCCCTGAAATGTACAAGAATTCTGCATCGGCCCTCATATCTATTCCTCATATGACGTCACAGAGACGCGCCACTCTGATAGGTTGAAATTTCTTTCGCGGGTGAGAATTGTGCACGGTTGTCAAAAAGGTCGATTTAAGTTAATGATAAAGAGTAGTTTAATGATGGGGTTTCATTTATAACGATGCCAGTTTTATGTATTTGTACCCTCTTAGAGTATATCATGATCTTTAACGAGTATGGGTGTAACAGCATGCCCAGGGTTTGGTTCATCCTGCAATGTAGGAATATAAAGATATGTCCTATAAGGAAATAGATGTCATGTCAGATTAACTACAGTCCTTCTGAAAGAAAGAAGTGATCCTTAACTTGTACATGACATGTAAAGTACCCCGTTGGAGTTCTTAAGCCATTTTCATTTTAATTATTTCAATCGTCAATAATATTAATTACCCAAAGATTTGTATGAGAAGAATTTGATTCAGGAAGTTTTTCTTAATTTGAATAATAAGTGCATAACTCAGATTTCCTTGTAATGTTTCAGTGCATCAACTCGATCACCACCTCCTCCTCCACCGACGAGATACTCGTCCTACAAGGCAACAGACGACACAAGAGACCATCCTGATGCCAGAACCCAGGAATGGAGGAACCGGTTTCATCATAATCAGTTATCTGAACCAGGCCACACTTCCAACGCACAGCAGGAAAACAGAAGCGGTGTGAAAGATTCTGTTTTTGAACAAAGGGAGAGAGGTTTTAGTGAAAGAAGTAACCGACGTGATCGATTATTGCCACAAAAGTCAGAACCACTGCCAAATAAACCACAAATTGTGACTAAAAGCAACTTCAGTCCACGTGACTCTCAACAAGCAAAAATCGCCATTATGAGATCGCAGTCTGCATGTCAAGGAGCAGTGGCTCCCGGTACCATCAGTGAAACATCTGATTCGACAGACACGGAAAAGAGGGAAAAGAAGAGACGATTCAAGAAGCGTTACGAACTTGACCGAACCAAGAGTTCCTCCATGCATAATTTATCCAGTGGTGCAATGGTGTCTGCGTCTGAACACAGGCGATCAGATTCCTATGTAGTGGATATACCTGTCGATGGTGGGGTTCCTAATCATGGGGAGATAACTCCCCAAAACCGAGCCACACCACAGTATCAGGACACTCAGTTAGACTTCCATGATGACCATTATCAAGACACACAGTTTCGGCATAGAGATTATGTTGTGGACAGAACCAGTAGCCATTCTCCTGCTAAAAGTGAGATAATATCAGGGGTCAGTATGAAGTACTCGGACATTGGCCACCGAGGGTCAATACAGGAGACTTTCGTTGACCACTCCAACAGGCCACCAAGCAGAAAGGCTAGCTCCTTATCGCCGACGCCAGTCTTCAATCTGGAGTCCTCCTCAAGGAACCCAAGTGTTAATTTCGAGAATTACAAATACAACTCTCTACCTCGTGACGCCTTTAAAAGGCCGACGTCTATGCCGTCACAAAGAGCCTCTTATACTGCACAGCAATACCACAAATCTCATCAGCCTGTTCTTGATAGGCAACAGGAAATATCTCAACGAGTGGGTCGAGATCATGATCGTATGAATAATTCATTATCGAATATTTCCGGAGGGGATATGGTTTCAAAGTCATCATATGAATCGGATAGTGAGACTAATTTCCGCGATAATGTACGAAGGACATCGGCAAAGATCATGCAGCAAAGTCTGAATGACCGCCAAATCTCCCAAGACAGCTGGAATTCTTACCGTGGGAATGGAAGTGTAAAGGAAAAGGTTTCTCAAGCTAAACTAAACAAATCTGGTCAGAAAAGCTCCTCAGCTTCAACATTACATAACCCTAAGCGACTGTCGGACTCTAACGTCAAGTCTTCAGGACAACAGTATCTCCAGGTCTACTTGAAAAAGGGCCAGGTGGTATACCACTGGGCAGTCATCCAACTCAGCATGTCGTCAGAGGTGGAAACATTTATGCATCAAATTGTAAGTTGGTTTATGTTGGTATTTTTCCTGTATCCCTCATAACAGTGCACTCTGCTTTGTGTAGTTTACCCAGAAAACACTGTTTTCACTGTTGTTTATCATTTTTATCATTGATTATATCTTCTTTTCATCATTGTCTCCACGACAACATTCATCATTGTTGTAATCACTCAGATACCATTCATCATTGTTGTATATCACTCAGATAACATTCATCATTGTTGTATATCACCCAGATACCATTCATCATTGTTGTATATCACCCAGATAAAAACCATTCATCATTGTTGTATATCACCCAGATACCATTCATCATTGTTGTATATCACCCAGACAACATTCATCATTGTTGTATATCACCCAGACAACATTCATCATTGTTGTATATCACCCAGATACCATTCATCATTGTTTCATCATTGTTGTGTCCCATCATTGTTGTATATCACCCAGACAACATTCATCATTGTTGTATATCACCCAGACAACATTCATCATTGTTGTATATCACCCAGACAACATTCATCATTGTTGTATATCACCCAGTTATTGTTTGTCCCCAGAAGACATGTTATCATTATCGAATGCCAGTTACATAACATGATGTTTTGTATGACCAAGATAATATGTTTTATGACAGTCATACATGATCCAGATAACATATTACCATCTTCATATAAGCCAAATAACATGTTATCATTGCCGTATAGCACCTATTAATAGAATATGTTGTCATAGAGGTATATCACCCAGATAACATGTTGTCATTGCTGTATAGCACCTATTAATAGAATAAGTTGTCATAGAGGTATATCACCCAGATAACATGTTGTCATTGCTGTATAGCACCTATTAATAGAATAAGTTGTCATAGAGGTTGTATATCACCCAGATAACATGTTGTCATTGCCGTATAGCACCTATTAATAGAATAAGTTGTCATAGAGGTATATCACCCAGATAACATGTTGTCATTGCCGTATAGCACCTATTAATAGAATAAGTTGTCATAGAGGTATATCACCCAGATAACATGTTGTCATTGCCGTATAGCACCTATTAATAGAATAAGTTGTCATAGAGGTATATCACCCAGATAACATGTTGTCATTGCAGATATAGCACATAGGTATATTAATAGAATATATCACCTAGTTGTCATAGAGGTATATCACCCAGATAACATGTTGTCATTGCCGTATAGCACCTATTAATAGAATAAGTTGTCATAGAGGTATATCACCCAGATAACATGTTGTCATTGCCGTATAGCACCTATTAATAGAATAAGTTGTCATAGAGGTATATCACACAGATAACATGTTGTCATCATTGTACATAACTTTGATAACATGTTATTAATATTGACCATACAGATACAGGTATATATATCACCCAGATAACATGTTGTCATCATTGTACATAACTTTGATAACATGTTATTGTTATTGACCATACAGATACAGACATTACTGTATATGACCTAGAACAAGTTACTTGTATCGTATATACACTAGATGTTATCACTGATGCAGGTCTTGAGGAAAGTTTCATTGTCCCATCATATACCTAACATTAACCATTACTGTATATCACCTAGAACAAGTTACTTGTATCGTATATACACTAGATGTTATCACTGATGCAGGTCCTGAGGAAGGTTTCATTGTCCCATCATATACCTAACATTAACCATTACTGTACATCACCTAGAACAAGTTACTTGTATCGTATATACACTAGATGTTATCACTGATGCAGGTCCTGAGGAAGGTTTCATTGTCCTATCATATACCTAACATTAACATGTTATCACTGTCAAATAGATAGAATGTATAACCTAGATGGCTATCACTGCAGCATATCACTCAGATAACATGTTATCCAATGCTGTATATCACCAGGAGCAGGAGGAAGACAATCAGGACCTCCTGCAGGAGAGGTTATCGGCCATCAACCAGCAGCTGTCGGTACAGAGGAAAGAGAGGAAGACTTCACAGAAGTTCTACAAGAAGCTCACCGAGCCTGCTTTCAAGGCAGAGAAAGGTAATTCAGCAGAGGTTGTTTTTGAAACCTCACTAACTCAAGCAGTCCAGACTCATTCAGCTATTATTCATTTGGACATTTAATTTAATACAATAATAAACTTCACCATTATTTTGGTATCCTTGGTACTTCCAGGTGTGGATCAAAAGTCCAATCAGGTGCTGAAGAATTTGTCTGAGATGACCAAGAAGATACGGTTCCTGGAACTCTGCAAGACACATTTACAGGTGAGTGCCAGATGTATTATCATTATGGGTGTACACATGCTTTGTTCATGTAATTGTAATTTGTTTCATCTGACTTAATGGTTAACAACTTTATGCTGATTGCAGCGTGACATTTCTGTCTTGATTCTTACACCATTATCAGGCTGACTACAACCATGTGATAAGCGGTATATAACATAGTATCTTGTGACTAGCAGCAGATTTATTTATTACATATAAATACCTGCACTCTATGCAATAAATAAGCTGTTGTTATCCATAAAATTGTAATCTTCATTTTTTGTTCATATAGGCATTAAGTATGTGGCAAGATTACTCATTTGAATCACAAATATAAATAGGATTTGAAAGGAAAACATAATTATCATGTTTCTAAATATCTTTACTTTAAAGCATAAACATCATAAGGAATACATTCCCAGCCATAAGGAAATGGGAACATTAGTGACTTGTAGTGCAACCAGAGTAGAGTTTTATTATTGATGTGATTAAACAACACATCGGTAGCCACAATCAGGCAGCCCTGGTGTACCTGGTTTCTACTAAATACCCATCCAACCCGAGTACCCGAGTACCTTTATACTGGGTAATCACACCTTATTATATCCTCCTAGTCTTGGTCTCCAGCAGGGTAGTCTAGTAGTGGTGGTCCGATTAATTGAAATAATCGAAGATTGGTCGCAGTGACTAAGAGACCAAGCAATCGAACATGTTTTCTCGTAATCAAACACGACCAGTCTTGGAACACTTGTTTGCATTAACAATATTTTTCACAAGGCTGGTTTTGTCTGTGTCATTAAATGTACATTTCATAAGCACTACAAGCTCGTTCCAAATCATGATTGAATTTATCTTAAAGAATCCATGAAATATGTGTTCATAACATACTAATCATCATTTAAATATGCAAAATTTGCAAATGGACTTGAAGTAATTTGCAAAAAAACCAAATTACTACGTTTTTTCTTCATTTTTTGTGTGCATTAACAAAAATAACAGGGACATTTAATAAATGATGCTAACCAATTATTTTCGATGATTGATCGGTTGTAATGGACCAATCATCAATTATTATATTTCAACCAATTCCCAACACTATAGTCTAGTAGTTAAAGTGTTCATAGTTTGATTCCTTTACATTGAAACGTGCATGCTTCCATGACTTTTCTTTATTTTATTTCTGTCTTTATTGATAACAACTTACTGTTTATTGCACATAGTGATGTTTCGGTGTGAATTCTGACTGGAATGCTCTTAGTCTCCCGCGGGGTAGCAGGGTAGTCAAGTAGTTAAAGTGTTCATTTGTTTGCATGATAAATCCTGGTTTTGATTCATAACATTAAAACATGCTTAGCTTCCATGACTTTTCTATTTTCCTTACCAATACACATGTTACAGTAACAAGCAATGTCATGAATCACAGAGTGTTCGTGACGACTTTCATGACTTGACGCTTCTGTAATATTGTGACCAAGGACTCCTCTTGATCACTTATTAATGAATACAAGGGAAATGATGAGACTGTTTGTGAGCTGTGATTGTGATATTACATTCTTAGTCTTCATGGGGATGGTGGGTAATGGGTGATATAGCATTCTTAGTCTTCATGGGGATGAGTGAGCAGTAAAGCCCATGTGGAAGCAGCCAGTAGTATAGCAGTGAGTAGCTAATGCAGCCATGAGCAGAGCGGTGAGTATAGCAGCCCTCTTAGTATAGCAGCTGAGTATAGCAGCACATATCTATAGCTGGTGTACAGCACCGCAGTATAGCAGCAGTATAGCAGGCCAGAGCAGCAGTGAGTACAGCAGTGAGTAAGCAGTGAGTATAAGCAGTGAGTATAGCAGTGAGTACAGCAGCGAGTATAGCAGTCAGTATAGCAGTGGTGAGTATAGCATGAGTATAGCAGTGCGGCAGTATAGCAGCGAGTATAGCAGCGAGTATAGCAGCGAGTATAGCAATATTCCAGCAATATCACAGCGGGAACACCAGAAATGGGCTTCACACATTGTACCCATGTGGGGAATCGAACCCAGGTGTTCAGTGTGATGAGCAAATGCTTTAACCACTAGGCTACCCACCACCCCTCTTAGTCAAGACTGTATTGGTTCACATATCTTCTCTGGTGTCTCCTGTCGTAATATTGCTGGATTACTCTCCTTACTTTCTTAAAAAGTATGAAAACATATTTTTACACACACAAAATTAATTATTTTTAACCCAAAAAAGAATTTCAATGATTGCATTTAGAGGTCCTCCTTAAAGCTTTGCCAAGCCCTTCCTGCATGGCTTACTGGCTCTCGGCATGTGTATGTAGATGCTAGACTGTATGTAGTGTCTGATACAGGAAGTGACGCGAGCTGCGGACTGTCATGCTCACTTCCACCTCGGGAACCACACAGGTCAACAAGGTCACATGGACAAATATCTGTAATACCAGTCCGATATTATCAGCCGACTGAATGGTCTGATAAGTAGTGTTTCCGCCTTGGTTAATTAGTGGAGGCATTAGTTTGAAATAGGAGATTTCTCCCCAAACTAATGACAGCTTATCAAACAGCATCTGCCTCTACTTATACCTTAACATATTGTTGTTGAAGTAAATGGTTCGGTGTGGTTACTTACTCAGTGACCGGTGCATGTTTATTACACGTCTTGTAGCCATACTTCACTAATATCAACCATTGACAGTATAGAGCCTGATGAAATTCATGGCTCAGATGTGAGCAGCTTCTGTGAAACAGTACTGACAAAGTATGGTACTGACAAACCAATAACCCTAATGTAGGCAAGTCTAGTTTTTTAACATGCCAGAATTGATTTTTACCTCATGCATATACTGACACACAATGATTTACTGTTCAAGGCAGTGTTAAACCAACTCACTAATTCACTCTCACTCACTCACTCACTCTGGCACACCTCAGCCATATTCCAGTGATATTGTGGTAACCTCGAGTAAGGAAGCAGTCGTTGATGTAAGTGTTGTTGCAGTTCTTCATACTAGCGTTGTGTTTCAGATGTTACTGACAGAGCTGTACGGACTTGACCGATCGTACCTGTACAGCCTGCTTGTATCCCCTGACAACAAGCCTCTAGTGCTCCAGCCCTACACCGAAAACCCCTCTCTACAGTTCCAGCCCTTGCGTGAACCCCGCAGTGGGTGTGAAGTGCAGGTCCTACATGCAGGGGATCCCAAGGGCCTCTTGGCCTATCTCTTCACTTCGTGAGTAACCCAAATTTACTCATTACTGTGTATAGGTTACTACAATGTCTTGACAATTATTTTTAATAACTGAAAATTGTCACCATGCATTTGATTTTACTGGGAAAGAAAGAAAGATTCTCAACTATTTGTTGCCTTTGGAGATACCATCCCTGCATAATAGAGGATGGTCTAAATGCTGCTGTACCTACAGAAGAGATATAATTCCCTGTATAGTGGAGGATGTTCTGTACCCCAAACAGTGAAAATATTATACCCAGTATCATAGAGGATGGTCTAAATGCTGCTGTACTTACAGAAGAGATATATTTCGCTGTATAGTGGGGGATGTTCTGTACCCCAAACAGTGAAAATATTTTACCCAGTATCATAGAGGATGGTCTAAATGCTGCTGTACTTACAGAAGAGATATAATTTGCTGTATAGTGGGGGATGTTCTGTACCTCAAACAGTGAAAATATTTTACCCAGTATCATAGAGGATGGTCTAAATGCTGCTGTACTTACAGAAGAGATATAATTCCCTGTATAGTGGGGGATGTTCTGTACCCCAAACAGTGAAAATATTATACCCAGTATCATAGAGGATGGTCTAAATGCTGCTGTACCTACAGAAGAGATATAATTCCCTGTATAGTGGGGGATGTTCTGTACCCCAAACAGTGAAAATATTATACCCAGTATCATAGAGGATGGTCTAAATGCTGCTGTACCTACAGAAGAGATATAATTCCCTGTATAGTGGGGATGTTCTGTACCCCAAACAGTGAAAATATTATACCCTGTATCATAGAGGATGGTTTACACGAACACCTGGTGTCATCTCTGATTTTCGGTGACGATTCCTATTATTTTCACAGTTGTTCTTCCCTCTACACCAAACATAATTTGTTGGATAGTCGAGACTGGGTATTCTTTTGCCCTGACATTCTATATCTAAGTGCTGCAGTACCTGAGTTGGCATGTTCTGTTGTAGGTCTGCCCTGAGTGATGGATATATCCACCAGTTCCTCTACACATTCCGCTACTTCCTGGCTCCAGAACAGCTGTTTGACTTCATCCGCACGCGCTACATTGCCGCCTGCAGGTATACCTTTATGTACCATTCTGGTCATTTCAATACTTTTATGTCAGCAAATTCATATTGTAGTATCATGTTAGTGGGATGCAGTCATTAAGGGGGGTTGTATTTGCATCTATGGTCTAGTAGTTTGAGTGTCTGCCTGGAGAGTGGAAGGTTCGTGGTTTGCCCTGTGGCCACAACCACAAGAGGGTAAACATGGTACTTCTTATTACCCTTCCTGGTGCCAGACATTAAGGGAAAAAAACAAGGACTGGTTGGTTCTGGAGTTAGTACACCATGTCTGATTGGGGACCAATGTTAAACTGTTAAATAAGCTATGGGGTAGCCTATGGTTAAAGCGTTTTCTCAATCCTCAATGGGTACAATGAGTGAAGCCCATTAGATATTGCTGGACAAGCGGCGTACAAAACTCAGCAGTCAGCAAATAACTATATAAAAGCAGCTGCAAACAACTATATAAATCACTATATAATCTTAAACACAACATATAAACCCAGTTCACCTCACCTCTATTGTACTGATAACAGTGTTAATTAAACTATCAGAAATGCGCAATGTGTTATCAGGAGTATCAACACAGTTTTTATTAAGATGTATATTGTGTCAAGTCAATAAATATTAAGATGTCGCCATTTTACTGTAAATTACGGATGATATTTCAGATCCAACCAATCAGATCGCAACATTGTGAGGGTGATGCATCGTGCTGTTGACCTTCTCCACTTCTGGCTGGAAGGATTCTACTCCATCGACTTTGAGAAAAACAACACTCTTGTACAGAGGCTGGAAGCATTTGTCAGGGAACATGTACGTAAACACTGATATTAGTATTGTGGAACTATACATGTTCACTTTAGATGAACAATACTCTCAAACACAGGCTAACCAAATCAATGTTTGTTGGGGAACAAACCAAGGGGAGGTAAATCTAATCCAAATTTGTGACAATCCTTGCTAATGAACACGTGGCAACTTTGAAATTCAGTTGTGAAAACTCAGTTGAGTATTGATATTATGTTTATGACTTATGATGACTGTAGGAATTTTCATGTCTGCTATCGACATCACAATTTTTGTTTTTAAAGTCCTATCAATTTAGTACAGTTTTAGGGCAAACAATTATATATATCTGTGTTTTATTACACACTCCTAAATATGTATATTAAACAGTGCCCCATACAGAGGATGGAGGCAGTTGTCAGGGAATATGAATGTAAACACTAATACTAGAGGTGTGCAACTATTATTATATCAAGACAAGGACAGGCAAATCAATCAGTTCATGTTTTATGCAGGTGAATTCCGCTGACCCTGACAGTGGGAGTAGTTTACGGAAGCTGATGCAGGCATGTCAACATGCCCCCTCCTCAGAGCTGCTCGGGGAAACCATCGGGGAGATTGAGGACAACGACAAAACAACTACCTGCTTTGTCCGCCTGGAGACATCCAAGAAGGTGAGATCACAAGACATATAATAATAATAATAATAATAATAGTGGGTTTGTCACATTCACAAAAAGTTAGATATGTTGGCACCGTTATTCATTTGCCAGAATATGATTCAAACTGACATAGGCTTAGGCCTGTGATGTGAAGAGATTTATTTCAATCTGTTTGTGAAGTTTGTCAATGTTACACCATTTTGAAATTCTTACTCTTCATCTCTTTCTCAGCACCAGATTTGTTTTGTAATATAATGTCACAACATGAGGTTGTATGTGTTTTGGAGTTCTGTGTTACATCTATAAGTGTCTGTTATAAGTAAATGTTTAGCACTTTCATATTAACCAGTAATTTTGGCACAGTCACTGTTGGTTGTGTCTTCTGTGAATTGAACACACAAACCTGTATTAATGTTTCACGGATGTACATGTCATCACTTGTTACAACTGTATCACACTTCACCAGTGTTGCTAATGTTCATCTGTTCTCTTGTTTATTTATTAAATATTTCAGCATTTCCAACAACATGAATATAATCCTCACATGGTTCTGGTCAAAACTAATGTCCACATTTATACATCCATTTCACTGTTTCAAGAATTTAGTGTATCCTAAATCATTCTGAAAGAGAATTGTAATGTGGTGAAAATTATGTTAACATAAACATTAGTTTGATTCATCTTTAAGGCTATAGCCCGAGCAGACATTGTCAGTGCAGTCGTTCATCGGAATTGTTGCCAAACCAGTGACTCACACATGTTAATTCCTGTGAATGGCTAGAGTTAGTCTTCTGCAACCCAGAGTTGACTAACAGGATCAGGTGGTCACCTTCTGCCATTTGTGTAGATCAATTCCAGTAAAGTCAGTCACTGGTTTGTCTAGTCCAGACTCGGTAATTTACAGTCGTCATATGGTTAAAATATTGCTGCATCAAACAGCACACAAACAAACCCTGACTTTATAAGGTTTTACTATAGTTTATTGTGGTCTACGGTAAAGTCCTACTCCTGAAAAAATATGTATTTAAAACATTTGGCAAAATGACGTGTGAAATGTCAAAGAATCAGTATGAGGATTATACTCATGTTGACCATGTTCGTGTTGTGTTTCTCACGTGTAAATCCTTCTTGAATCTGTAGCGAAGCCGAGCGGAGATGCTAGAGGAGGTAAAGTGTGTTTGGAGCTTGTAGTCAGTCTGTGCATGCAGCCTGTTTGTTTACAATGTAGCTTGATGCTGATGCAATAACTAACTTCTTAAATCATCCTCTTGTGTCAGGGAAATTGCCATCTCTGAAGCCTTTATATATCTGTTGTCTATGGTCCTGTGTTCAAATCCAGGTTCACCTGTTTGGTTTCTAGGTTTATTAGCTCCATCCCCATAGGGTTTCATCAAAGTAGTAAATGTCCGAGGAGGTCAGCAATTTTGTACACATGTACTGAAGGGTGGGGGTGGGGGGCAAATATTAAAAAATCATGATTAAAAAGGATGGGAGGAGGGGGTCATTGATTTTGTTCATGACAAGTAGGGGGGTGTCACTTACTTTGTACATAAATTTTACCTAAATCATAATGTAACTTGCAAACTGTTCAGAGGGGTCTTAGACTAAACTCACTCACTCACTTAATACTGATCATAAATATATTGCCTTTTCAATTTGAATTTTTAATGTACTGGTATTACCAAACTTATGTTATTCAGACTTTACATTTTCATTGTTATCAATATTGTTCCATGTGATATTGTTTGGGTTCAGATGTGGGTACATGCTTACATAGCCTTCACTCCTGATGCATGTCTCCTCCCACTGATTCGCTGCCCATGTAGTGAATGTGTGTACATTGTTGTTTATGGGGCAAACAGTCACGGGAAATTAACTTATTTCACACAATAGCCTACTGTTACTTAAAGTTTGAATATCATGTGTTTCCATGTGTCATGTGTTAATGTGTTCAATGCGTTCAGGTAGTGGTGGGATAGCCTAGTGAGCGTGTTCTAGTCCTGGGTTCAGTTTCCAGGTGGAATATGACAGCCATTCTTTTTTCGCTGTTATGGAGTTCATGAACCTTTTGTTTCCATGTACTCTCTGTGCAGAGTAACAAAATGATGGCAGTGCCATAACCCTATGCTCGTAAAATCAATTACTGGATTGTCATATATAGACTCATCAACATATAGACGGAATAGTGCCAAGACAACTTGAATGACGGACAGTATGAATAAAATTCAGTATTACTAACATACAGTATTGATAAGAGACAGTATGAATAAAATTCAGTCTTACTAACATACAGTAACAGTAGCGGACAGAATTAAGAACAGACAGTAATAGTAACAGACAACATGTATTACATCCAAACTCAGTAACATACAGTATTAATGCTTGACAGTATTACATACAGTATTAATGCTTGACGGTATTACATACAGTATTAATGCTTGACAGTATTACATACAGTATTAATGCTTGATGGTATTACATACAGTATTAATGCTTGACAGTATTACATACAGTATTAATGCTTGGCAGTATTACATACAGTATTAATGCTTGATGTATTACATACAGTATTAATGCTTGACAGTATTACATATATTAATGTACATATGCTTGACAGTAATACATACAGTATTAATGCTTGACAGTATTACATACAGTATTAATGCTTGACAGTATTACATACGGTATTAATGCTTGACAGTATTACATACAGTATTAATGCTTGACAGTATTACATACAGTATTAATGCTTGACAGTATTACATACGGTATTAATGCTTGACAGTATTACATACGGTATTAATGCTTGGCAGTATTACATACAGTATTAATGCTTGACAGTATTACATACGGTATTAATGCTTGACAGTATTACATACAGTATTAATGCTTGACAGTATTACATACAGTATTAATGCTTGACAGTATTACATACAGTATTAATGCTTGACAGTATTACATACAGTATTAACGCTTGACAGTATTACATGCAGTATTAATGCTTGACAGTATTACCAGCAGTATTAATAACTGACAGTAGTATCGAAAGACAGCATTTCTAACAGACAGGATTAATAACAGACAGTATCAATAACAGACAGTGTGTGGTACCATACTGACATACTCATACTTTACACAAACGCTCTAAAAAAACGCTTGCAATCAATAGTGTCACTGCAAATGTCTCTATCATACTCAGCATTTCAGCTGAATAACACTTTCATTATGATAAGTTTCCTATAATTAACTAATCATCAGACATTCACATCCACTTATTCCTGTAAGTGGGCAGCATGGTAGCCTTGTGGTCAATGCTTTTGCTCCTCTTTGCTTAAAAGCAGTGGGTTTGATTCCATACATGGTTACAACGTGAAGTCCAGCTCTGGTATCCCATGCTGTTATATTGCTGGAATATTTTTATATGCTCACTCACTCACTCACCTATTCAATATATACTTGGCCATGAAAGTTCATTAATTTCCTCACTAAAACGTAATTTTGATTGTAGTAAAACTGATTATATTTTTAACTCCAGAGTGAGCATTTAAATGGTGCTAATTATCATTTCCCTGACAAAGAAATTATAAAAAATGTGCAATCAGTACAAACCAATGATCCAAATATTCATAAATTAAAACTTCATTAAAAAATTAATGCATTACTTTCCTCAAAATAACTGATGTGAATGATAGATGAAAACCACTCATATTTTCAGTACCTCTAGATATTTTCTGAAACTATTGTAAGTGAGAGGTTCATTATGATCCTGTACATGTTGGTCTATAGACTCCATTAATCAAGTCATTGATATGCCCAATACTTAAAACACCTCTTTCATATTTCAGTGGGACTCTTTTCGATCAGGGACAAAGGTGAAGGTTACTCCCAAACACCGCCCGAGTCTACCTGACCTCAGCATGGATCTGGATAAGTTTCGAAAGGCGCAGAGCATGATGGACATCAGTGCTGCTCCGACCACGTTCACACGACGGGCAGACGCATTCTCCATAATGGATTTCTCACCCAACACCCTCGCTGAACAACTGACACTGATGGAACAGGTAGGTTTCTGCTGGATTTCTCACCCATCTTCAAATTGAAGGATGACATCTGCTGTGTTGGGTGTCCTGTAGAACACATTCACCAACTGTTGGTTACGTTTGTTCAATGATGCTACATGCTTACATGTGTTCTATATGATCTATATGTGGCCTGTGTGAAGTGTGTGACCTGTATGTGGCCAGTTTAAAGTATGTGACCTATATGTGACCTGTGTGATGTGTGTGACAAATATATGACACAATAATGTTTGTGACTGAATTGTGGCCTGTGTGAAGTGTGTGACCTGTATGTGGCCAGTTTAAAGTGTGTGACATATATGTGACCCGTGTGATGTGTGTGACATATATATGACCCGTGTAATGTTTGTGACTGATTTGTAGCCTTTGTGAAGTATGTGACCTATATGTGACCTGTGTGATGTGTGTGACAAATATATGACCCGTGTAATGTTTGTGACTGAATTGTGGCCTGTGTGAAGTGTGTGACCTGTATGTGGCCAGTTTAAAGTGTGTGATCTATATGTGGCCTGTGTGATGTATGTGACATATATATGACCCGTGTAATGTTTGTGACTGATTTGTAGCCTGTGTGAAGTATGTGATCTATATGTGGCCTGTGTGATGTGTGTGACCTGTATGTGGCCAGTTTAAAGTGTGTGACATATATATGACCCGTGTAATGTTTGTGACATATATATGACCCGTGTAATGTTTGTGACATATATATGACCCGTGTAATGTTTGTGACATATATATGACCCGTGTCATGTTTGTGACTGATTTGTAGCCTGTGTGAAGTATGTGATCTATATGTGGCCAGTTTAAAGTGTGTGACATATATATGACCCGTGTAATGTTTGTGACATATATATGACCCGTGTAATGTTTGTGACATATATATGACCCGTGTAATGTTTGTGACTGATTTGTGGGCCTGTGTGGTATGTGTGACCTATGCACGACCTATATGTGACCTGTGTGATGTGAGTAACTGATATGTGACCCTAATGTGACCTGTGTGTAACTGATATGTGGCCTGTGTGGTGTATTTGATGGATATGTGACTTGTGTGATGTTTGTAACTGATATGTGATGTGATGATATGTGACTTGTGTGGTGTGTAACTGATATGTGATGTATGTGACCTATGTGACCTGTGTGTGTAACTGATATGAGGCCTGTGTGATGTGACCTTGTGATGTGTGTAACTGATATGTGGCCTGTGTGGTGTATGTGTGACCTATATGTGACCCATGGTGTTTCAGGACCTGTTCATGCTGACCCACCCTGTCCACTACCTGAACTCCAAGGCCCAGGGTGTGGGGGTGTAGCTGTCCATGCCTGGGATGCGGACACCATCCATGCAGAGGTGAGCGATCTCTTTATGACAATACACAAACAGATTCATATGCCAGAAAATTCCAATCACTGGTGATCCGATGTCCAGATGAATAGTGCTAGTAGATTGTTGATATGAGAGTATGAAAGTTTGTGTTAAGATATCCCCATTGTATTAATGAGTACATACAAATACCATTTGTACAGTCTGTTCCAATCACTGGTGATCGACTGGTCCAAATGAATAGGTACTAGTCAACTTGTTGATTGATGAGTATGAAATATTATGCATAATATCCCCATTGTACCTAATGAGTACATACCAATCCCATTTATACAGTCTGTCATCATTTGAATACCGGTTACACGAATTCGTCTCATAAATACACACGATGACTCGAGAAGGAAATTTGGTCCCAAGAGATTCAAACAACAGCAATCTTGTATACATAAGCCGAAGTCAGTCAATGAGAAGTTGATTGGTGTAGCAAACTGATCCAATTAACAAACCAGCTCGGCTCACACCTTTCCGCCATTGACGGGTGAGTTCAAAAGGCAGATTAGTGATTTTACGGAAATCACTGTCTGTGCTAATCAGACTGGAACTGATAAGGTGCCCCTATTAGTGATATGGAAATCATTAGATAAACAAATGCTTAGGCGGAGGAATTAGGACTGGATCATCTTTTTTTCTACCCTCATAGACATACCTATGTTTCGAATACATTGATAAGTCAAATATATTACTTGGTCCCCAGCGATTCGACTCATCGGGATTTGACTGTATTTGCTTCATGTTTACTTCATTCTAGCGTTACGATGTCAAGTTTTACTGACTGAACGTACTTTACTGAACATAGTTTTACCAGATTCTGGCTTTGAACTAGCTACTAACATTCCACACTTGATATGCTGAATTAATTTCTATGTTTGTTGTGGACCTTAACTCAGGTCCCTTCATCATGTGACCTGCAATGACAGTGACATAAGATACAGTGGGTTTAGTGACAGTTTGAACAGAATTTGAATTATATCAGTGTGTTGCGAGAGAATCTGCATTCTCGGGAATATAAAACTTTGTGCCCCTTTGGAACATTCCTGTTGGTAACATGCGTCTGTAATCTTGCAGGAAGAACCGGGAACCAGAAGTGACGAGTCTGTTTGTTTCCGACACCAAGTTCAACTCGGTCATACAGCGCATCATTTCCTACAACCAGGAGCTTGCCCACTGGGTTGCAGCTGAGATTGTCACGTGCACGTCGACCAAGAGTCAGAGTGTCATCTTGAACAAGTTCATCCAGGTAGCACAACTGTGTGCCGAGATCCGCAACTTCTCCACATGTCTGGCCATCTTGGATGGCCTGGAGAACCTCATCGTGCGTCAACTGCCCGCGTGGAAGAGTCTGCCATCAAAATGTGGTGGCATCATGGACGACCTGGAGAAGATCAAGGTAAGCATCCATCACGGAATGTCTTGACCCTGTTGTACAAAACTGTAGACAAAAGTATCGTACAATAACATGCTAGTTTACATGTCATCTGTAATTAATGATTATTCATCACCAGACCATGATACTCACATTGTGTCACCAAGTATTATAATCCACAATACTTTCAGTGACCTTTTACAGTGTCATGTTTGTTAGTGCTGACTGTTTCTTCACCTCCATCCCCAGGTTCAAGTCAAAGGAGAGCAGAGCTGCCTGATGAAGGAGAAAGACAGCCATCTTTGTCCCACAATTCCCTCTGTTCTGTACTTCCTGTTACATGTGCAGCAGCTGGAGATAGGCAGCTTTCAGCTGGCAAATGGCATGTACAAGTGGACTAAGATGAGGTGGGCACATGCTTTTTAGTTTAGTTTAAACATGTCACTTCTCTTTTGTTCTTATATGTAAAAGGATTGGGTGGTCAGGCTTGACTAAATTGATTGACTCATGTCATTGTATGCGAATTGCATGAATTGATGCTCATGAAGCTGATCACTGGATTGTCTGGTCCAGACTCGATTATTTACAGACCGTCACCATATTGCTGAGTGTGGCGTTAAACAACAAACAAACTAATGGTGAATGTTAAAGTTGTGAAAGTAGGTAATAGTGAGGGTGTCTCCCCTCCTTCCCCTTAGCACCGAATATGATCCTTGAGTCTCATTTGAGAATGTATCCTGAATACTACTTACCACCAATTTCACTCCACAAGGCCAGAATGTTAGTCACAGACAAAAACCTACAGGTGTTAATTGTTCACGAAAGTGGTGATTTAAAGTTAATTTACTGAAAAAAAGTAGATAACATACACTGTGTAAAGGAAATGTTTACGTACACAATCATTTGTTTAAATGTTGAATCTGCAGATGAAATGCTTCTATTTGTATCAGATCCATCTGTCAGATGATAGACCAGATCCGAGTGTTCCGGGAGAATGAGTTCCTGTTTGAGCCAGACGAGACCCTCCAGGACACCATTCATCAGAGAATCGTGGACTTCAGCGAACAGGATCTACACACTGTCGCATCCAATAATGATGCCAACTTCAGGAAATTCACAGCCGGCGGACTTTCTGGTGTCTTTAAGAAGGTCAAGGACAAATTGCAATCAAAGGGAGAGAAGTGAGAGAGTAGCAGTTGAAGTGTGTTTCATGGGCCTGTTGATGTCACCTTGAAGACTGAGGCGCTCAAGAGGAGGAATAATACAGCAATAGAAGTGCTCTGTGTCTGCTGGAACCTACCTTGTGTGGAACCAATCGGAATAATGACCAAATATGTTCTTGTGTGAAGTGTACAAGGACATTCAGACAACAATGTCGACCGGGAGAATGGTGAGATAACTCAGGCACTGACAGTGACATGATTGAATCAATCAGGTACCGGTATGTCCGTTTCAATACCACATGTGTTGGTGATTGTACGTGTGTCGATATTCGAAGTGTTGACTTTTGACGAGTGTCAACATTCCAGCTACATCAACATTCCCACATGTGTCGACGTTCCTAACCATATGGATATTCTTACAGTTGTCAATGTTCCTACACGTGTTGATAATCCTAAACTAGTATTGACATTCCTGTATGCCCACATTCCTGCATGTGTCAACATTCCTATTTATGTTGATGTTCCTCTGTCTGTCAACAACTTATGAAAAAGTGTTGAAGTTCCTACATGTGTCGGTGTTCCTGTTCCTGTTCCTGTTCTGTGAACAACTTATAAGCAAGAGTTGAAGTTCCAACATGTGACATACATACATGTGTCAATGTTCCCTGACAAATCAACATTCCGTCATGTGACGATGTTGCTACTTATGTCAATACACCTTGACCTTATGTTCCTACACGTCAGTATCGTGTTGGACAATGAAGAAACTTGGAGAGATGTATTCATAACATACAAACTCTGTGAAGACACAAGCCAGTAATAAACAACATCCTTGTGCAACAACGATCCCGTGTAGTTAGTACAGATAAATCCAGCTGGGTTTAGTCCTCATCCTCCACTGAAGATGATGTCGAGTAGCATCTATACCATGTTTAGTCAGTATAGTCATTGAATGTACATACATGGTAGACAGAATCAGCATTGTGGGATCATTCATGTAATCACAGATATGTCATATTGTCATAGGAGAATCATAGGAGAATCACAGGTATGTCACATTGTCATAGGAGAATCATTATGTCACATTGATCACAGATGTCAGAAATCACAGGTATGTCACATTGTCATAGGAGAATCACAGGTATGTCACATTGTCATGTCATTAGAATCACAGATGTCACATTTATATAGGAGAATCACAGGTATGTCACATTGGAAAGAATCACAGATGTCACATTCATATAGGAAAATCACAGTCATGTCACATTCATAAGAGAATCACAGATATATCATTTTATAAAGGAGAATCACAGATATATCAGATCACATTAAGGAGAATCACAGATTCTATTAAGGAGAATCACAGATTCTATTAAGGAGAATCACAGATTTAAGAGAAAGATATATCAGATCACAGATTCATATCAAGGAGAATCACAGATATATCAAGCATTCAATTAAGTCACATTATCTTCTATAAGAGAATCACAGATATATCAGTCATTAAGGAGAATCATTCAGATTCAAAGGAGAATCACAGATATATCAGATTCAATTAAGGAGAATCACAGATATATCAGATTCTATTAAGGAGAATCACAGGTATATCACATACTCTACTAAAGTGTTAAAAGATACCTCAAGTGTTAATGCAGAAAAAAAAATCATATTCATGCAAAACTTCATTCACTATTGTACAGACAAATATCTGATAGTATTATTTTCTTCAAAACATTATGACATTATGCTATGTTTGCATTATGAAAAGTATGACCTTTTTTATACCTGGTGAAACTATACTTTTTGTTAAATGTACTTAAATTCAACCATATTTTATCAAAGCATTCAATGGAATAATGTAAAACTGAGCATTAAAACCTCCTCCTTGTCATTAGTGGTCCATGATTCAGTGAACTACAAGTCAAATCTATGATGGTGTAAACATACATGAACTCAGGCATGACAATATTTACTTGGATTGAGAAATTATTTATTGTTATCCTTTAATTTACTGACCGTTGCTGCAGACTTGGAACTCTTTATGGGGCTCTGAGCAGGGCTAGATAAGTCCCCGTGTTTCTTGCCCCGATTATATTGAATTGTGAAATATTATAAAATATGTAATGTGAGTCCTGCTGCATTTCGGGATGAGATTCACAGACTGACTAATCCGCAGTGACATCTCTTGTAATCAGGACATTGTTGTAGCACCTATAGTGTTGATGTAGTGTTGATGTAGTAGATCAAAGGATGTACAAGAGAGAACCTGTAGCACCTATAGTGTTGATGTAGTAGATCAAAGGATGTACAAGAGAGAACCTGTAGCACCTATAGTGTTGATGTAGTAGATCAAAGGATGTACAAGAGAGAACCTGTAGCAAACTAGTGGTAAACTGCAATCAGTCAAAGGAACATAGTCAGAATTACAGCTCTCTTTCATCAGTGTAAAAATGTATTCCTATTTATTTTATTTTTAACTTAATGTAAATAATTTATAAGGCCAGAAAAATAAATCTATATGTTTGTTTTAAGGACGACAGACCTGTGTTTGATTAAAAAATCTGCATTTTAATATTTTTTGTTTGTATTTATTTTAAGCATTTGAAACAAGAGGGGGGAAATTTCCAGGGACCCCTGACATGTTGTTGGTTACAGATACTCTGTTGAAAGTTTGTTCATGAGACAGTTTATACACAATAAAGTGGACTTGGTTCTGTCTAAGGGACTGGTTATTTATCATGGGTAGGAGACGGTATTATAGGACTATGGTATTTTGTTAACTGTCCCCTGATTCTTTATGTAACATTTTTTAAATGCCCCCAGTCGCTGTGAGATACGTTGAGAGATGTACAAGTCTGTTATATGAGTTGTTGATAATATGTTGTTTATATTGGCTCATCAAATCATAATTACTTTATTTATATATGCAATATGCAGTTTGTAAAGTATGTATATATTTATACTCAAGTTTTATTGGAGATAATTCAGATCTGTTTAGATTTTTATTCATTGGTTCATAATGATAATGTTTCTTCCAGTATGAATCTTGAGCAGACTTTTGTTATCTGGGAATTCCAGAGGGGTGAAACGGACTGAGGTCAGTGGTCTGGGTTTTCAGTCAATTGATAAAGTACCATGATAAAATTGGAATACTCACGTGAAATTTTGTGGGGGCTGAAATTAATACTTGTTATTCAGATTTTAGGGTTATTGATCATCCTTGGAACTTGGTCATCCAGTTTCCTAAGCAACAAAATATTTTCAGTCATCGACAGTACGGGGATACTTCATGGGTGAGCATACAAAATACCTATAAATGCCTACATTTCCTTTCTAGGCGTAAAGTCTGCCAAACCGTAGAGAATAGATTAAAAATGAGACTGGCTCTAGTCTAGAATTATTGGGCAAATCTAGATTGCCTAAGCTCTGATGTTAAGAATTTTTGCATCTCTTATTGGATGTTGGAGTGACATTTTCAAATAAGATGACTAAATTTCTGGGACCAGATGACAGTCTACTTGAAGAAAGTCTCATTTAAAGTCAATGGATAGCGTGGTTTCAGCAAGAGGGAGTAAAGCAAACATTCCCTATTTGCATAAACAACATAAGAAGTAACATGTGCATCGTGTGCCAAAGCCTGTGTGATGACACCTGATTCCATGTCTGACCACATACACAGGGAGTGCTTACACAGACTCATTTCATTGGTTGACTAAAAATAGATTCACTTCACCATTATTCCATATCCATGGTTGCATTTACAGGTAATGGAGGAATGTTGTGTACATACACCAGTTAGGTAATTAAAGTGATCTTTGGATTAATATGCATGGCAAACAATGGACAAGATATGTTCAGCACGTAGCTAGCTAATTCAATATGGAGGATACTAACAATCACTTGTGTAATAAAATATGTACCTTAGGGACAAGTACTTATAGGATGGTGTCATCCTACAGACACACACACAGACACTCACAGACACGGACACATACCAACACATATGCATGCATACACGCACACATCCTATATAATAAATAACCACCCCTTATTTATCACCTGTACTTGAATGTCGAGACTATTTCATGTAAGAAATTAATAGATTTGTTACAAATGCATGGGATTATTTTATGCGGAGGATTAAGTTTGGCCAGTCATGTATATATATATATAATACTTCCTTCATTTCTGCGTCTGCTCAGCTGTTGGTTCAGCTGTTTGTATTACAAGACTCCACATCCAGACTACTACCGGGTATATTATTATCCTGCAGACTATCTATATGTTATATGAAGTTGTTGTTTGATTATCTGTACATATGTAATATGACAAAATGTTTGTAACATTTAGTATATTCTATTTATAGAACTCCACATGAAAAATATAAAGGTTCTTTGATTAAATATTACTCATTATATTTTAAGTATGGAATCTTCACTACACTGAAGCCATTACCAATAGACTTTTAATGATTCAAGTCTATCAGACAAATAGTTATCATTGCTGTTTTTATTATTTATTGCTTTACTATGTGCTAGTAATTATTGCCATTTGATCTGGAATTTGAAATTGTATTCATTTAATAACATATATTTAAATATGTTTTCAGTATTGACATTGAACAGTGTCCAAGATGATACAACTTAGCAAGATTTTATTTGATTTGGTTCACTTCAATGTTTTTTATTCTATCATCTGTTAAGAATCAACACTTATGCAAATAGGGATTATGTTAAAGAAAGGATATTTACTTGCGTGTCATTCTAGAACTTGATGAGTAAACAAGAAAATGTATAGCCCTGTTGATAACTTCTGGCTTGCTGTATTTAGCTACACTTCGATGTAGAATCCAAAAGGATTGGTCAGCTGGATTTAGCGACACTTTGATGTAGAATCTTAAAGCATTGGTCAGCTGGATTTCAGTAAGTGTTATATCTGTTATTACAGCTTTATAATGGTAGAAGAATCTACATCAAAATGTCGCTATATGCAATGAACTAGAGGTTGTTTGTAACCATACAGTTGTGTGTTTTCTTAGACAAATATATTTCACCAGCATCAGCTTTCATGCAACTCTGAGGCTGAGAATTTTAATAAAAAGGACTAAAGGCTTTTCAAACTCTAAAAATGTTAAAAAGATTTATTAAGAAACGTTCAGAACTTATGTGATGGAAATGTTTATGTATGGGATGTTGGTTTATGTGCATCATTACTGTCACTATTGTTCTTTGTACTCAGAATATTTTTAGCTTTAAACCTGATCTGTGATACATACAAATAAATCTGTTCACTTTTATGTTTTTCTGTAGTTGTTAAGCTGTGATATGGACAATATGACAAACAGAGGTAGATAATATAGCAGCATATTTATTGAAACTGATAGACTAAATTTTAGAGAACACAGCATAACACATGAGATACGAAATGTACAACACTTCACTTTACATTAATTAGTTGTAATGATCCTGTACATTTCAATAATTCAATGATAATCTCTTTCAAATCTAAACAGAAAAGTGAACTGTATTTCTTACCATAAAATGATATGTTGTTTGGAAAATATGATATCAACAAGTATACCCTCAAAAACATGGGCATTGACTCCTATAGTCAGATGACACAGCTTCACTTTCATGAGTACATCGTTTCTCATTATGATGATAATACACTTTATATGTTTTTGAAAATCTGGACGTTTTAGTATTTTCATGTTAAATAATTTTAAAAGCATATGCTGTCATTCACTGCTAAGAACATACAGTATATTTATTGTTTCCTTGTCTCTGCATTTAGTGCCCCACTGTTGTTTCTTTGTATCCATGTTTCATACAACACACAGTTGATGGTCATAAGCATATTCAAGTTAGAATTGTAACAAATTGTTCTATACATTACCTGGTGAACATATTTTTCACTGTTCCTGCTGATGTTTCCTGTTAACATGGCAACAGTTGCTATGTAACCATGTGGGGAAGTCGTGTGATATTCAGTTTTGTAACTTCAATATATTTATAATTCATGCAATGTTTGGAAATAAATATTTTTCAATGTTATGCTTGTTTGTGTTTTACTGGAGGAGGATGTCAGCTGGGTATGTGTTTGTAACGGAATTGCTGTTTCCTATTATACACCACCATGGAACATCATGATACTTCTCAGAAACTTATCATAGTCTCCCCTTTGACCAACTTTGCCAACTGAAGAAAACCAACAAAAAGTTCACAAAGAAAGGAATATGTGCACTGTTTAAACATAAAACACCACACAGGTGACGTATGTCTGCCCCAGCGGATCCTGTTAGAATCACTCTTCAGCAACCTAAGTTGGATTCCCGAAGGTGATTCTGTAAAAAATGGTCTTCAGCAACATATTTTTGTGTCACTGACGAAGATCCCATTAGAGTCATGCTTGCCTACAATTGAATATCTTGTTAGAATCAGTCTTCAGCAACCAATACTTGTCTACCCTTGTAGATCCGGTTAGAATCAGTCTTCAGCAACCAATACTTGTCTACCCTTGTAGATCCGGTTAGAATCAGTCTTCAGCAACCAATACTTGTCTACCCTTGTGGATCCGATTAGAATCAGTCTTCAGCACCCAATACATGTCTACCTTTGTGGATCCGATTAGAATCACTCTTCAGCAACCAATACTTGTCTACCCTTGTAGATCTGGTTAGAATCAGTGTTCAGCAACCAATACTTGTCTACCCTTGTGGACCCAGTTAGAATCAGTCTTCAGCAACCAATGCTTGTCTACCCTTGTGGACCCAGTTAGAATCAGTCTTCAGCAACCAATACTTTTCTACCCTTGTACATCCGGTTAGAATCGGTCTTCAGCAACCAATGCTTGTCTACCCTTGTACATCCGGTTAGAATCGGTCTTCAGCAACCAATGCTTGTCTACCCTTGTGGATCCGGGTTAGAATCGGACCTCAGCAAGCAATCTTCAGCAACCAATACTTGTCTACCCTTGTGGATCCGGGTTAGAATCAGTCTTCAGCAGATCCTTTTAGATCCAGTTAGAATCTTGTCTACCCTTGTAGATCCGGTTAGAATCAGTCTTCAGCAACCAATGCTTTTCTACCCTTGTAGATCCGGTTAGAATCAGATCTGGTTAGAATCAGTGTTCAGCAACCAATACTTGTCTACCAATGCTTGTCTACCCTTGTAGATCCGGTTAGAATCAGTCCAATCAGCTACCCTTGTAACCAATACTTTGTCTACCCTTGTAGATCTGGTTAGAATCAGTCTTCAGCAACCAATGCTTGTCTACCCTTGTAGATCCGGTTAGAATCAGTCTTCAGCAACCAATGCTTGTCTACCCTTGTAGATCCGGTTAGAATCAGTCTTCAGCAACCAATGCTTGTCTACCCTTGTAGATCCGGTTAGAATCAGTCTTCAGCAACCAATACTTGTCTACCCTTGTAGATCCAGTTAGAATCAGTCTTCAGCAACCAATGCTTGTCTACCCTTGTGGACCCAGTTAGAATCAGTCTTCAGCAACCAATGCTTGTCTACCCTTGTAGATCCGGTTAGAATCAGTCTTCAGCAACCAATGCTTGTCTACCCTTGTAGATCCGGTTAGAATCAGTCTTCAGCAACCAATACTTGTCTACCCTTGTGGATCCGGTTAGAATCAGTCTTCAGCAACCAATGCTTGTCTACCCTTGTAGATCTGGTTAGAATCAGTCTTCAGCAACCAATACTTGTCTACCCTTGTGGATCCGGTTAGAATCAGTCTTCAGCAACCAATACTTGTCTACCCTTGTGGATCCGGTTAGAATCAGACTTCAGCAACCAATACTTGTCTACCCTTGTAGATCCGGTTAGAATCAGTCTTCAGCAACCAATGCTTGTCTACCCTTGTAGATCTGGTTAGAATCAGTCTTCAGCAACCAATACTTGTCTACCCTTGTAGATCCGGTTAGAATCAGTCTTCAGCAACCAATGCTTGTCTACCCTTGTAGATCCGGCTAGAATCGGACTTCAGCAACCAATACTTGTCTACCCTTGTAGATCCGGTTAGAATCAGTCTTCAGCAACCAATACTTGTCTACCCTTGTAGATCCGGTTAGAATCAGTCTTCAGCAACCAATACTTGTCTACCCTTGTAGATCCGGTTAGAATCGGACTTCAGCAAGCAATGCTTGTCTACCCTTGTAGATCCGGTCTTCAGCAAGCAATGTTAGAATCAGTCTTCAGCAACCAATACTTGTCTACCCTTGTAGATCTGGTTAGAATCAGTCTTCAGCAACCAATGCTTGTCTACCCTTGTAGATCCGGTTAGAATCAGTCTTCAGCAACCAATACTTGTCTACCCTTGTAGATCCGGCTAGAATCGGACTTCAGCAACCAATACTTGTCTACCCTTGTAGATCCGGTTAGAATCAGTCTTCAGCAACCAATGCTTGTCTACCCTTGTAGATCCGGCTAGAATCGGACTTCAGCAACCAATACTTGTCTACCCTTGTAGATCCGGTTAGAATCAGTCTTCAGCAACCAATACTTGTGTACCCTTGTAGATCCGGTTAGAATTGGACTTCAGCAAACAATACTTGTCTACCCTTGTAGATCTGGTTAGAATCAGTCTTCAGCAACCTATGTTTTTTCTACTTGAAGATCCCGTAAGAACTGGTCTCAAACAGCACATGCTCGTGAAGATCACACAAGAATTGATCTTCAGCGCTGCGCTTGTCTTCCGTGAAATTCAGAAAGTCTCTTCTGGAAGCTATGCTTGACTCCGGGGAAGACACTCTCAGAAATGATCTTCAGAAATCTATTCTTTTCTTTTAGAGGCATAACTTTTGAGCCAGAGTCACTTGTCCCCGCTAAAAAAGACACAATCCCCATAAAGGTAACATGGTAATCAGGGGCGGATACAGCTTTTTGAGAAAGGGGTGGAGTGGGTGTGTGTGCACACTATTGAGAAAAGGAGTGCTGCACACTTCAAACCCAGCTTCAAAGGTCATTTAACAAACTTTCAGCACAACCGGGGGTGACCTTTGGATCCGCCTGTGGTAATGCTAAGAACGCGGCACGTTTTCACTGAAACCTGACACAGTAAATGAGACGAGTAGCCATTTTCCAGATTTCTCAGTTAAATACTCAGAATGAACGAATCCTGGTTCCTTCGGTATTATATACCATGAACTCGGATACAGCGCGGGCCAACTCTTTGCGCCTGAAACATCATCAGGGATTTCCGTAAAGAGCGTGATCAGCCATTACAATTTATAAATAAAGTAATGAGAACTTATTCCCTGTCGCCGTGAGGAAGTGACGCCGGAAATACCCAGTAAATACACCAATGCTGGAGGACTCCAATTAACCCAGTGGTACACTACGTTTAGTAAAAACACATTTCAATGAGTGAGTTTAGTCGTTTTACGCCACCTTTATTCCCGCAACATCAGGGCGGGGGCACCAGAAGTGGGCTTCAAACATTGTACCCATGTGGGGTACCTGGGTTTTCGGCGTGACGAGCGAACGCCTTAACCACTGGGCTACCCCACCACCCCAACAACAATTCATGCCGGAACTATATTTAGTGACCTCACACAAAAATATGTGACATGACAAAGATGACAATTACACTCGGGAAGTCATCAACATTGTCAAACCACTGGATAAAAGAAACATGTTGCCAAAAATAAATACTCTATGTATTTGATAAAAAGAAAGCATTTACGCATATAATCTCTGCAAACCTCTCGAAAATACACAACAAACATTATACAGGTAGCTCATGATAAAGAAGATCTGATAAAATAGTAGGATGCTTCTTGTTTTACGCCGCACCCCAGATGGGGGCCTATTAATAGGTTTTACCAGTTTGGACCAGTGAAAGCAGTGGCTGGCATCATGAGCAACAATCTACGCTAATGAGATTTGTTGACATGCAAGTCGGTGAACCTGACCACCCGATCCAGCGAGTCTACCCTTAAGCGACAAGCGTGGGTTGTTAAATAGCCGGATCTTCACGAGGCTTATATATCTGTCACCTCAGTGATTGTACGTGTTCTTTCCTCGCCCTGCTTCTTGTGAATTATAAACTCCAAATATTCCAAATATATTTTTGTTTGTCTGTCATATATCTGTTCCTATCCTTTTAATGTGCATTCTGGGTATAATGTGAAGCCAATTCCTGGTGTCCCCCACCGTGATATTGCTGGAATATTGCTAAAAGCGGCGTAAAACTCACTCACTCACTAATATCCATCCTTTCCTGAATCCCACAGACCAGTCCCCTAATAATAACCGGCCCCTTACAATACCCGTTTTGCCACTTACACATTTTATAAAAGTACCAATTCAAATAAGTATTTTATTCTTTATTAATAAGTGTTATAAGTATACAGGGTCGTGTTGTGGACACATTTGTATTTGGTGGATTAGCGGTGGTTTGTTCGAATAAAGACTATAGTTCATTCAATCAATTTACTTATGGTAAAGTCGTTTTCAAGGGAGACCACTCGCAGCGTCATTAGGCACCGACCGGGCACCTGCAAACGTGCAAAACGCCAAAATTTAAGCAAAATGTTTGCAAGGAAAGCCGTGTCAGTTCTGAAACACGGACTTATTGACACCAGTGCTAGTAGACTGATCCATTCTTCGGGTGTACTTGGAACGAAAGTTGCTGTGGTAACCTCGACGAGCAACGCTTTAATCTTCACTAAGAAGATTTCACTAAGAAGATACATAGGCAGAATTTTATGGTTATCATGTAGACTCAAAACTGGTAAGCATTGTAAGAAAAAATACTTGTTGAAAAAGTTAACATAGATTTACGAGTAGCAAGCTTTGTAGAAAGGAACCATCTTAGAACTTAGATAGGCGATATGACAAGAATGTTTATTTTTTTGTTTTCGATAAATAGATATTACCAGTGATTACTATGTTAGTAGACAGCATTCAGAACAAACATTGACTGAAACAAGGACACAGTCAGCAGATTATTGATTTACCTGTTTACACTGATTCCATCTTGCTTTCACTTTGCTAGATTATGAACGTTAAAAGATTCAGTTATAATGTATATTGTCCGACATGTCAAGCGTACAACAGTTACGTTGTTATTCAGGTCCTGTCTGGGTGTGGTGTTTATGATGGAAGTGAAGTACATGAAGCATCGGCGTGAGTAATATTAATTTTACTCAGTTATGCAAATGTTGGTTTGTTTGTGACATATATAAGTATCTGATCTCATTGGAAAGATTTCTGCCTGTAACCCCCGTGTCTTTTTAATCATTCTATGCCTAAGAATAGTCAGGGTTTTCTTTATAAAATGCCTAACCCTAACCCCACGAAATAATCCTAATAAATAGAATACTTTTCAAGTGGGGTTACGGATGGAACTCTTACCCTCTCATAAAGAGTTTTGCCAAGCAACAGGGATTTACCAAGTGTGAAAACCTAATGGCTCCAATGTTGGTATTTGATTATTTGATAACACCTAAAAGTCATTTCTGTAATCATTTAAGAAATACAATCACAGTTGAAAGCTCCATGGATTTATCTAGCACTCAGACTTGGGGAACACCATATCTGTTTTGACTATTTATTGACAGTTTGTGATTCTGAACAAGTACAGTCTTCTGTCACTTAGAAGAGGGATATATTTAGTTTTGACATTTTTCTGAGGCCCCATTTGTAGTTTCACCATCAGGCAAACAATTGTTTTGATTTTCTCATTAAAATGGGTGAAATGTTAATGTATATTTTCTTCACATTGTTCTTGTAACACATGTCTCTGCAGTATACTAGTTCACTTAAGTCGAGGAGGTGCCGATGTCTCTATGTTTGCCCCTGACAAGAACCAGATGCATGTTGTCAACCACACCAAGGGAGAGCCCATGGAACCAAACAGGTGAGGTGCCATCGCATCTCAGTTTTTGAGTTTAGTTTTACGCCACACTCAGCAATATTCCAGGTATATGGCGGTCGCATCTCAGTATGAGAATCAGCCATGCAGCTCTCACCATCAGAATTTCTAGTCATCATTGGTATGGAAGACCCAGTCAGAAAATCCAGAAGTAGTTTTGCCAATCACTCACCATTTTAAATTTTATGTTCAGTACATATTGTGGTTGTGTATTAAGCAGCAGTATTCATGAATGTGTATCAGTTGCTGCATGACTATTATTTGTTTGAGAAGGAGCAGGGATTATTAATTCAATGTATCAGTGTGAGAGTTTGGTTTTAAGACAACTAGAGCAATATTCCATCAATATGAAGGCTGTGGAAGCAGATTGTACCCTGTTGGGCATCAAACCCACGGCATAGCCATAGCTGATCAGTGCTTTAACCACTATGTAGATACTGCCTTCCCTAATGTGTCTGCAGCCAATGATGATACAAGTGTATTCCTGCTAAACCTATATGGAATGATGTCAGTTGCTGTATTGTTTGTCTAGGAATGTACTGCTGGAGTCGGCACGGATTGCCAGAGGCAAAGTGGAAGCACTCTCAGGATTGAAAGTACAGAATTTTGATGCTGTCATTTTCCCAGGTGGATTTGGTGCAGCCAAAAACCTGTAGGTAGTGTCCAATATATAATAATATAGTGCAACAGTGGATTTATTTAAAGTTTTTTAGAAATAAATTTGATATTGGTTTGAGAAGACCATTGAAAAGAGCCTAACAATACACAATATCATCATGAAGATCATCTGTGTAAGCAGTCAAAACATTTGTACCAATACAGAGTGAAGATTATCATTGTTTTGCGTAATGTCCCTCACCTCTCACACCACTTTCATCCTTCAGAACACAGTTGGTTTAAATCCAGCTCCTTTTATTAATGAGAGTAACAATAGTTAATCTACTACTGCAGGTAATCCTGTTTTCAGATCTACGTTTGCGTCGGAAGGGACAGCAATGTCTGTGGATTCTGATGTGGAGAGAGTCCTAAAGGAGTTCCACACTGCAGCCAAACCAATCGGGTAATTGAGACAAGCCCATCTTGCCTCATTTAGTCTTATTGTCCATGTGATGTTCAGATAATGTGGAATAGTTTTACATATTTGTTGAATGAAAACTAACAGTAAGTAATTATGTTTATGCCGGTCAAGTGGATCCTCATTTAAAATAAAACAAGTCATTTATTGCAAGAAGAATAAGCAACTATGGACCTAAGATCAACTGCCACTGAGGTATAATGATTATTAGACATATACATCAGAGTATTAATTCATGTGTATATATCAGGTTATCATCCTACTGATTTAAGAGTTATCTGCCCTTCTTCAGCTAAAATGAGTCTCAATTTTGTCTGTAATTTCTAAACTGTCCACAGAAATGCAGCTGCAAAGACATTTGAACATTTAACTTTTGCCAGCAAATTATCTGTAAATATACTTTAAGGATTTGTTTTTCCTTGACATCTCTTGAATTGACTACGTGTTGTGAGGCTATATTTACCAGTCTGATCCTGTTGCAGACTGTGTTGTATTGCCCCTGTGCTGGCTGCCAAGGTCATACCAGGCTGTGAGGTCACTGTGGGGTCAGACCAGGAGGAAGGAGGGAGGTTCCCATATGCTGGAACAGCCGGCGCCATTGAGGCCTTGGGATCCAGACACATCAAGAAGAATGTTACTGTATCCTTGATAATGATTACTTCAGTCTCCTTTGTGGGAAGGCTTACACAACTACATGCCCTTGCTCATGTAAATTGACAGTCCTTTTGGCATGGGGTTTGTCATACACTCTGTACTAGAGCTTGCATAGTGATTCTTGTTCAGAACAGACCTGGATGATTGTGATATGAGCTGAATTAAAGGTGGTTTAGGCTGATTTTGGGTCATCATGACCTGATGGTATGAATCATCGTTCATCCTTCCAATCACTTGTATGCATGGTCAGATTATTTGTGACAGCTGCAATATTAGAATGTAACTGTTTTGGTTAGTTAATAGTACAGACTCTTCAGAACGGATCCTGTTTTCACAAGACACAGTCAGTGCTATTATAATTATCAGCCAGTTGTTAAATCCAATCTGAGAGCCCAGTTACTTAGTGAATCTTGTCATAGCATGGATGTCTCAGAAATGTAGCGCCATCATTTGCATGCTCCCCTTCCCCTCCTCAGCATATTAGATGACTTGAGAAAGTGGTTGATTACGACTGTTATAACCTTAACATCTCTGAGGAATGTCATGTTGACAGCAAGAACAAGATTGTCACAACCCCGGCCTTCATGTGCGAGACTGCTGTACACGAGATCTACGATGGAATCGGAACTATGATCAAGTCCATCCTCGGAATGGCTAAATAGAGCCATGAATTGTGTGCTGCAGTGGGACCCTGGAAACACAGATTGTCAATTGAATATTGACAGAGACATTTATGTGTACTATAAATCTATTAACCCTGATCCAGGATATGTGGACTAAGATGACATTACTTCATGATACCAAAGGAATCCAGATTAAGTCATGTGGTCTTACTGTGTTACTCCCCTTGTCTCTAACAAGATGGCAACACCTCATGATAATAACAGTTTGTTTTCATATACAGTTGATATATTTCAGTGGTCCCAAGGACTTGAGTAAGTGAAGTTTCAGTTACTTTGAACTCTTTTGAGATTGGTGTGAGTTTCCAAGCATGACATGTCTCTAAAACTAGATTGTTCAGTGGAGATGCTATGATGTCGGTGAAGAGATTACAAATACATGTATATTGGATTCCAGTTCCTGAATGAGGCATAATAAGAATGTGTCTATGTTTGATCCTTGTATGTGTTTGAAAGCTTGAAAGCTTGTGGAGTGCTAGTCTTGGAAGTAAAGCTTTGGATACCCATTTCATGGTTCTGTTATAACACACAACACGGAGGTGTATGTATTTTATTTACAAAATGACAGTATACAGTCTCTCATGACTGCAATAAATATACAGGGTTCACTTTATGAAATTGATGACACATCCTGCTGATATCAGATCTGACAACAAAATCAGTTTCTTAGTACTTAATCTTCCGCTAAAAAATTTGGGCTATGTATATCACAGTGTAAATGGGTTCATTGATAAAAACGTGTTTCATGTCTCAGCCACCCGATGGATTTTGTTGATCTTGGAAATCAGCTGATTTTCCTTCTCTCTCAGTTTGGATGCTACTTCCGTCTGAAATGATTTGACACAAGTTATAAATCATGGTACAGACCTGATGAATCAGCTGATAGAGAAGTATCAGATAATGAAAACTATCGAGATATGAAGTGGCAGTGGTCCTCCTGTTGTCTCCTGTAATCTCACTATAAACTTGGTTTTACCAAACAAAGGATACAAATAGGTATCTATCGAAGCCCTCATATGTGTGTCTCTATGCCCGTGGTTGATAGAGCATTGGATAATGACAGCAGAATAAAGGATACAATGAACTATCTACAGAACCCTCCCATTAGTGTCCCCATCCCTTCTGTATATGTACCTGTAGTCCTCCCAGCATCTCCTTGGCAACACTCTCGATCACCTCCTTCACATCATCCACGGACAGCTTTGAGAAGATGTTCTCCGACGTCTTCTCATCAATCTGCAGTTCGCTCACCTCTTCTGCAGTATCTTCCACTGGCTGCAATTAAGCAAGGAGTTTATATAAAGTACACATTTTACAGCATAACATTTGGTAAAGAAGCACCTGTCACAATAAAACCCATTCCATATACATGTATATTCCAATTACATGTATAAGTTATTTAAACTTCAAACATTTGATTTGGATAAAGTTCATTTGGAAGTTTTAATACAATCAGAAATATTATGCACTAAGGCTGTAACGATTCACTCGCATATTCGGTGAATCGAACCGTAGCCCTTCATGAATTCAATTCGTTATTCGTGGTCATACGAATATTTACGATTTTATTAAGGGAGAATGTTTTACTTGAACCCTTATGTCCTTTCCAAAGTGAGATATGCAAGAATGGAACATGTACTAGCATTGCAGTAGTGCAAGTCATGTTAGTTTGCCAAGACAGCACATGGTACTGTCGATTATAACTATTACATACCAAATTTGAGTGTCATGAGATCACTGATTATTGCCATGACAAATCAAAACTGTCAACATGGGCGTTCCATATTGTACATCAATAACTACAATATTGTATTCGTGAATAATTATTCGTATTCGTTACCCAATATTCATGATATGTATCATATTTGCCACATAGTGTATTCGTTGCAGGCCTATTATGCACCCAAAACCAAAATGCTCAGGTTTCAGGGGTAAGATCTCACTGAACCATAATTTACTGAAACTGAGACATGGTTAACAGAAATAGTAAGTTACCAGAACTTGGGCTATAAATTATGTCCAACAACTCCATCAGGAGGCTCGTAGCCAGTCTGTGATATGTGTTAGATGTATGTATCAGTAAACCAAAGTACCTCTGGTATTGGTGTGGGAGGGGGCGTGGCAATGTACTGGTTGAAGTGTTCCTCGGACACACCCTCATCCAGGGGAGGGGGAAACGGGACATCAGCAGCCTTGGCCACCTCCACGTCCAGCTGGAACACAGTCATATCATCAACCATAACACTCTCAACACATTACTGAAGTACACATGTGAATGTACTTCTGAAACAAAACCCTGTTTTACAAAAAAAGTCACTTATTTATATGTAAATTATCACTTTTCAAACAATATTAAGCATGCTAAGTATTGCGGTATTGGAGAACAAATCTGTACAATCCTCTATATGGTTTTAGGCTTCTATTCATGTCTGGAAGTAACTCTCTACTTACATCTGTCCCAATGATTTCCTCGGCTTGGAGTGTTGAGAACATGTACTCATACAACGTGTAGTGTTGGAAGAAACTGGAAAACATATACACATATCAATCAATCTCTTTATTCTGGTGTATGTAGGCCATCGGCCCGTAATACAATATTACTTCATACAGCCAACAAACGGCTTGTACGCAGCTCATTCGCATATAAAATAGATGCATAGCTAGATTTCGTAGCACAGTGGAATTGTCTACAGACATCAAAGTATTAAATTTGCATAATGATGGATAAATATAATAGTTCACAGGAATATATGATGTACGTAGATGATCATAGGCAGAACATATTAGAAGAAAATGATATTCATTTTCAATGTAAACACCCGAACACATAATCTGAGATTCCTTTGCTTATTGATATATCTACCCATCTCAATAGTTGATGAGAGCTGCAATATGTAAAGTAACTTGGCAGTGTGAAATGCTGTTTAATGTCTTGTTCCAGTTTTTTACTTGTATAAAATTATTCGCGTTGTGAGAGTCTGCTTGTTCTAACCTGGACTGATACAGTGTTACTATGCTACCCAAGAGATACCCCAAGTTAACATGGACACTCCCTCAGACACATTACCCTAAAACAGAGTTAACTAGTCCTTCCTTTATCACCTTAATTATGTTAATGTCAGGTCCCATCTTTTAACATCTTTTGGTATGAGGCGACCATGGTTTCGAATCACCAAACTTCTCTCTGAAAATGCTCTATCTACTACAGTTAGTTCAGAGTTGAGTATCCCATTAAACTTAATGAATCCTGAAATATCTCTATGTAACGGAAGAGATATTTCTATGAACCTACGATTTGTTATTTTGGACATTTCTTAACATGGTTAACCTGGCCAATTTCCCAAGGAATAATACATTCAGCATTAACAGTGTTTCAAAATACAAAGGGTGTTTTATAACACAAAGTACTTACGATTATAACAATAAAGACTTTCATATCAATAATAGTAAACTACGCAGTTGTACATCTGCATGAAGAATCAATGAAAAATTAGATCACTGAAATCAATGGCTGGGTAGTCAGTCTCGCTGACTCGGTTGACACATGTCATCATATCCCAATTGGGTAGAATGATGTTCCTGATGTTGATCACTGGATTATCTGGTCCAGACTTTTATTTACAGACCGCTGCCATATAGCTGGATTATTGCTGAGTGCAACAAACTAAAAACAATTTTAAAAATCAATGGCATCTTCCAATGTTCATTATATAACCAACAGTTATATTAAAATAGAAATGATGGTACAAGATGCTGTGGAGACATCTCCTGCTACATGATCATGCACTGTATGCTGCCCACCTGCTGTATAGATAGTTAGTGATGTCTTTAGCCTGGTTCACATCAAAGAACTCGAGTCCTCCGTACTGCATGTCTGGTCCATTCTCAGCTCCAATACCCACAAGCATCTTCTTCATCTCCTTCAGATTTTCAACCAATGACAGGTGTTTCTCTGGAAACATGCAAATCATCACACATCATAGATTTTATCTCTTTTGTTTGTAACAGACATTACAGAAGACTGATGTTTTTCTTCAGTTGTATGCAGCATTGTTTTCTTTGACAAACTTTAGTTTGCATTTACAGAAAATGGAGCGGTTCAGAAAAGGTCTACATAAAGTAGACATACTTCAAGTTGATACTTAAGAAATTTCAGGGAAAGGCTGTTTTCTGTGTTCTAATAAATATCAAAATACAGTGAAACTCACTCCTGGCACCTTGACACTGGTAAATTTACCTGGGGAATGTACACATATATATGTACAAAGGGATTAACTCAATAAACATCATTTCTTAACACAGGAATTTTCAGTGGGAACAATACTGCCCTGGTGACAAGGTTTGAAGTAATTCAGCAACTGTACCTTAACAGATTCATAGATGGTGAAATTGATCATTATATGCATAAATCTGATTGTACATAGCAGAATACCTTTGACATTCTCGAAGATCGTGTGTACGAGTGTAAAGAATCCTGACAGTTGCTGTACAGAGAATGCCTTTTCCTTGCCCCACCACACAGAGGCTGTGTAGAAGTCTAGCACTGAGGCCTCACGTAGGTCGGTTGAGTGACTGTCTAGCTTGAATATGTCGCATAATTTCCTGCAAACAATCATAATTAAAATATTTGGTAATCTTATCTAGTGAATTGTACAATGTTTAGAAATATGCTGCATTTCATGTTTTACAATACAGTTGTCAGTATAAGTCAATTTAAGGATCACCATGCATATAAATGATTCTGGGTTGGGATGGTAACTTATTCTTTTGGGTTGAGTGAATCCCTGTTAGAATCCATGTCTTTCTTTCTGACATTACACGTTTTCCTTAGGATGTACATGTATTAACATGAAACAAACTGCAGTGTATGTACGATTAGATTGTTTTAAACATGTACCATAAATAGTTTTTGGCTCCGGCAAAACAGTTCCCAGATGGAACATGCATCTAGTGCATGAGACCTAAAGCCTGGGAAGGGTCAGGTGAATTTGGACTTCTCCCAGTGCTAAATGACTCCTTACACATCCTCTCAGAACTGGTTTAATTCACATGTAAACACGAAACATGATATTTACAGTTTCTCCATTCCATACCCAACTTATGAATCTGTGCTACCTACATCTGCATGTGTTCTACACTGAGTGCTTGTAGTTCTCGGGTCTGGTCTGCTGTCAACACCTTGAAGGCCAGGGCTCCTTCCCGCTCATCTGCCTCACCGTCCTATACAATGAAATATAGTGCTACAGACAAACTTAGAAGAGGAATATTTGTCTTGATCAGTTTGGATCCAACTGTTTCATTGTATTAACGTAATGCTATATAATCAGGAAATAGAATGTATACAATATTTTTGGTAATTATTCTTTACCAGCAACACGTTTAATAAACATGTGTAAGATTACATGAGTATGTCCACAATCCCACAGGTGCAATGTGATGATTTGGTTACTTTATTCATCAGTCTGCACACACATTAAAAATAACTTGCTGAATTAAAGGTGCAGGTGAACATCTCATGAGCCTACATCTTCGTTTCTACTCTCAATATATCACGAAATATATTGTCACTTTGTTTTGAAATATATGTTTGTGAAATATTGTGGTAGCTTTGATTTCAGTGAATATTGAAACTATAGGTGATCACTATCATTTGCATAATATTCATGACATGGCATTTGTATGAGGATGGTTGTCATTACAAATACCATCAAATACGTTCATACAAGAACTAATTTTGAGTTGTCAGGTAGGTATCAGTGTTTTTAGCCTTCTCACAATCTTTGTTTACATCCCGTGGATAGATGATAACTTCAGATATGTTTACAATAATCAATGGAAAACAACCAAATCAAAGTGTACCACTGTCACTTTTTTCTTATTTTTCCATCAGTCTTGGCTGAGGACAAATTCGATGATGATCCATGAAGAGATGCTTTACTAGCTCTGGATGAGATTTTTGACTGGCTTCTCGTCGCCATTTTCGTCGCTATGACAAACTTGACAAATGGACCGCATAGGAGATGAGAGTGCGCCAAGGGAAATAACTGCTACATACCTTTACTTTGGCACGCCGTCTGTTCGACTGAAAAATAACAGTAGCTACTTTGAATTTGAGCATTAATAGAGAAGAGTGATATAGATAAGCGTATTCAACATATTGTTACGTTGAAATAACCATGGTTTCTTCAGGAAATTATGTCTTGTTAAAGGAAATAATAATGACACGACATTTTATATTCAGATTCTTATTCTGCATGTGATAAGGTAAAAATCCGTTTTGCTTTAAAACTCATGTTCGACATATATTATATAAACATGAAAACACTACATGATGTAATTGTGAAGCAATTAGGTGTGCCACTGGTATTCAGTACTTTATGAAGCGAGTGAGTAAGTTTAGTTTTACGCCGCTTTTAGCAATATTCCAGCAATATCACGGCGGGGGACACCAGAAATGGGTTTCGCACATTGTACCCATGTGGGGATTCGAACCCGGGTCTTCGGCGTGACGAGCGAACGTTTTAACCACTAGGCTACCCCACCGCCCCTTTATCAAGCGCTGTATCAAACTTTAAGTAACCAGACTGTACCCGGGAGCAGACATAATTCGGAGAGAATGCTTACTAATTAAGATGAAAGTAGTAATGACATATGATTTCTTATGTTCTTTACACTTTATAAGTTAATATCGTGCAAACATCGTGGCTGAGTATTTTGGATTAAACATTGGTAACAATAACTATTCCAAACATATATTAACTCAGTCGAGTGAAAGCTTGTGTTACACTTTTCTAAATGGAGTAAATCAATATATCAACGATACACTGCAGGGTCAGGCATAGTCTTAACACTAGTTTATGCATAGAGTTTTAACACTGTATCATCCATAGGCAAAACACTGCATCGTGCACAGGATTTTATGACAATACATCATGCACAGGTTAATATAACACTGCATCATGCAGAGGCTAATATAATGCTGTATCATGTACAGGTTAATATAATACTGTATCATGCAGAGGCTATTATATAATACTTTATCATGCAGAGGTTAATATAATACTGCATCATGCGGAGGCTAATATAACACCTTATCATGCAGAGGCTAATATAACACTGTAAACATGCGGAGGCTAATATAATACTGTATCATGCAGAGGTTAATATAATACTGTATCATGCAGAGGCTAATATAATAACACTGTATCATGCACAGGTTAATATAATACTGTATCATGCAGAGGCTAATATAATACTGTATCATGCAGAGGCTAATATAATACTGTATCATGCAGAGGTTAATATAATACTGCATCATGCGGAGGCTAATATAACACTTTATCATGCGGAGGCTGTTATAACACTTTAACATGCAGAGGCTAATATAATACTGTATCATGCAGAGGCTAATATAATGCTGTATCAAGAGAGTAGTATAATGCTGTATCATGGTTAATATAATACTGTATCATGCAGAGGCTAATATAATACTGTATCATGCGGAGGCTAATATAATACTGTATCATGCAGAGGCTAATATAATACTGTATCATGCGGAGGCTAATATAATACTGTATCATGCGGAGGCTAATATAATACTGTATCATGCAGAGGTTAATATAATACTGCATCATGCGGAGGCTAATATAATACTGTATCATGCAGAGACTAATATAATACTGTATCATGCAGAGGTTAATATAATACTGTATCATGCAGAGACTAATATAATACTGTATCATGCAGAGACTAATATAATACTGTATCATGCAGAGACTAATATAATACTGTATCATGCAGAGGCTAATATAATACTGTATCATGCAGAGACTAATATAATACTGTATCATGCAGAGACTAATATAATACTGTATCATGCAGAGGCTAATATAATACTGTATCATGCAGATACTAATATAATATTGTATCATGCAGAGACTAATATAATACTGTATCACGCAGAGGCTTATATAATACTGTATAATGCAGAGGCTAATATAATACTGTATCATGCAGAGACTAATATAATACTGTATAATGCAGAGACTAATATAATACTGTATCATGCAGAGACTAATATAATACTGTATAATGCAGAGACTAATATAATACTGTATCATGCAGAGACTAAATTTATTATATTACTGTATCATGCAGAAGCCAATATAATACTGCACAATGCGCAGGCTTTTGCACCATATTATGCAAAATAGAATAACACTGGATAATGTGAAGGCGCATGCATAGACATGTACAATGAATCATGTATAGCCTTATATCATATTTTGGCAAAATGTTGTAAAACTTTGGTGTTTAATTAAACAACACACACACACAAACACACAAACAAACAAACAAAAACATATATCCTATGGTTAAAATTATAAGACGCCTCCATTTCACAACCTGTCCCATTTGAATCTACCCTGTCTACAGTTGCCTGCGTTAAAGCTACAATCTGCAAACCATCAGAGTAATGAGTGAGTGAGTGAGTTAGTTAATATTTAGCGTCCCATTGGCAATATTTCAGCCATATCGTGACGAGAACAGTTTATACATTAAAAATGAATAAATTTGGAACATAAAAACCTGTCGTCCATGGGCAGGTCACACAGAAAACATAACATCCGTTCTAATTAGCTAATAGTGCATAATATGTTATACTCAAGTGAGTGAGTGAGTATGGTTTTACGCCGCTTTTAGTAATATTCCAGCAATATCACGGCGGGGAACACCAGAAATGGGCTTCACACATTGTGGATAATCGAACCCGGGTCTTCGGCGTGACGAGCCAACGCTTTACCCACTAGGCTACACCACCGCCCCTATACGCAAGTGAGAAACAACGAGAGCGAAATATCATATATATTAATATATATTATCAAATGACAAACACCCTATAGTGAAATGATTTTAGCATTACTCTGATATGAAATATCACAAATCTGGTATGTAAGTATTTTTTGTACATGCTGGAAGAAAAAGGACAACAGACACTTAACCTTTATACACGAGTGGTTCACACGACCTACTTCAGGTAATCATGAACATGACACCCAGCACACCCCAAGCAACCTGTGAGTGTATGTTTGATATCATAGTCTATATCATAACAGTCAGTAATCCCGAGACAACGCGCGTGTCTACAGCCCATTCATTCCACATGTATGACATATAAACTAGATACCCATGTCACAGCTGAAATATCGGAGCTATATGTTTTATTCGTGTCGGTTTGTATAGGACATGGAAAGCCACGTGTAAACTTCGGAATGTAAAGCAGTGACGTATCCATTTGAATTAGAGTTTAAAATAAATCCACAACATTGATGAAAGTGAGAGGTATACAACAAGTCACAGACATTATAGTATATGGAAATATTATGCATTTCCGGTGATCTAAAACCAAGTACATTGTAGATTCCATCATATTCAAAATATGTAGATCGATGTTTACGATCACTTGATTGTCTGGTCGATTATTTACGGTCATATAGTTGGAATATTACTGAGCACGACGTTATACAAAACAAACAAACAACGTACATTAATTGTGCATTGGCTGATTTGTGGGCAAACGCAGAGACACATATTACGGTAGATACTGGTTAAATATGTGTTGTATTATAAAAATGTTAACTATGTAAAGTATTTACATCAATGTTAAACACGTAAAGGACAGTTTCTATTTACCATTCTGTATCCGAGTGACAACAAACAGCCGGCGTACAACTCCCACAAGCTCCGAATGAACGTAGAAATCAAGTAGATTATAGACGTTAATCCGTAGCTAGCACTGATCCGGATTATGGTGTATCCATGTGCTATAGTACTAAGTTGCTGGGGCTATCAGGATAAGTTATAGCTTTATCGGTATACCACGTGGTTCATTACACTTCCTGCTGAATTGTAATAAGATTGATCAAAACTGAGAGGAATAATCCATCTTTTCTCAAAGATAGTTCAGAAATATGGAGGTCTTTTAAGACCTTTTAGAATAGATTATTTGGGTTAATAAAAACGGTATAGGTCAATAGAAACATTATTCATGGTCAAGAATGGAAATATGCTGGTATTACCCACATCAGACAATGAAAGGACACTTTTACTAACGTGAAAAAAGCCTGGAGACATAATTATAAGTATAACTATATACTATATATAACAATCAGAAAACATTATTTCTATGTAGAATTACCCCCAAATGTAAATATTGGTAGGATCCTGTACACTGTTAATCCATTACATACTGAGGACTAGTACACACATGAAGTACAGTGCATCTGGTGTATCACACACAATATATACACGGCAGAGCTAAACACGGTAAGTCTTACATGCTAAGATCATGGTTATGAGTTTATGTCTTTTAAATCCGATTATATAACTGCCGTGATTGTTGAAGTAATATTGCTAATATGTTGCTAAACGTAATATATTGCAAGTAATTACGCCTGTGCACTTCTCGCCATATATATTCACAACACCCACACAATACACCACACGCCCATCCCCATGGGACACACATATAATTCTAACCCCTGTTTCCCAGTATACATATATGCCCCAATACATCCATCCATCCACCCGCCATTATGTACCTATATGCCTAAACATATTCTCGATCGCACCTGACATCCCTACCCACCCTCCTACCTATATCCTTGCCTTGCACCATGTAGTCATACACGGCCCATAGACCGTTAGTCAGAGACTAGTGAAAAAAGGAGTAAGACTTTATGCTTTCTACCAAGATCTAACTACTTTAAATATAAACCACCATTCGGAAATGGTGTCTACCCCAAAACACTTTAAGGCTTTTTATCCATACCCGCTTACCTGTTTATCTTTCCAAAACTTATTCACATACATCCATATGATCCCTACTCCACGTCTTTCAACACCTGCTTACCTGTTTATATTTCCAACATTCCCGCATTATTCCCGTTTCCAACATTAACGGGGTCGAACACACCCGTTACCCCTATACCCTTATTCGTC